TTTATAAATGCAAAATATATATAGAAAGCATACATTTTACTACCACTTTAAATATGGACATAAAATTTTACGCCAAATGCGTAAAAGTTGGCATGTGTGATGATACCCCTAGCGCCACCTGTGCTTAGCTTTATATGGTTCTTCATCCATATATCAAAACTAATACAATCAAATACAATGATAACTCATTGTTGGGAAATGAAACGTTCAAGTTCCAATCAACAAAATTTATCGATTTATTCTATATATTTTTTAATCTTTTTTTAAGCATTTTTTTTTATTGAATTAACATAACTTTTGGCTCATTCAGGCGGCAGAAGATATCATTTCAGAGTTTTTTCGATTTTTGATACTTCTTAATAATGGTAGCTGACAACTTCTCCACAGTAACTTTAAAAAATTTAAAACCCTTCGATTTTATTTTTCTACCCCTATACAACCTTTCCCTAAACAATGTCCGCAAGAAATTTTACTGATTTCTCAGTCTTTTCCAAGAATAAATCCATTATTTTCTCTAAGGAATCGATCCGAATGCCAATCAAATTCTTCTTATTGGAAGAGCTGTGCGTGCTCCACTGTTCGTTATCGTGGGCCCAACCCTTGTTATGTTTGTAACCCAGTACATGACTCTCTTTGATTCATTCCTATTAAATTAACCTCATTTAAGGAAACTTTTTCGAATCTCTTTATTGAGCGGAAACAAAATGGCTAAGAATTCTATCTCGGAATAATCAACGTATTTAAGGTATGATTTGTGAACTTGACGATATCTCTACTATGCTATCGAAATTTACAAAAAGGAAAAAAATTGAAAACGATTTCTAATAATTTGCCGACATTATCAGTTGCTATTATGGAGTGCTATTTTATTTTTAACACTTAACTATCGAGTACTAAATTCGCTGGATCAGGTCTGGATTAAGAAGGATACCCGCAGTAGCCAATTTTCCCAAGTTCTTAAGGGATACATAAGAAATTTCTTAAGTTTATAAAAATACAGTAGATTTTTAACATTAGATAGAAATTTACAAGACATTTTAAAACTTAATGTTTTAGAACCATTAAAAATTATTTCATCTTAATAATTTGCTGATTGCGGCTATCCTCTATATTTCGGGGGTGAGAAATCTAAATCCGTTAAAAAGAAATAATTATGCTTATTCAGAGAAAGTACTTTGTGTCCGATTTCCTAACTTAAAATATCATATGCACCAATTTATTAGCATATTTGAGGTCACCCTCTCAAATCATTAAGAATGAGCCCTAAAAGTGAAAATCCGATCATAAGATCAAGTTATTCAAGGTGGTCTTTTCTTTTAGGCTCACCTGTACAGTTTCTACATCCCTCCATTATTCCACGTTTTGAAAGTTAATATTTATAGTGCACTGAGACAAAATGTCACATAAAGTTGATTGTTGTAGTTCATTTACGTCGCACTCGAGCTGCACAATAGGCTATTGGCGACGGTCTGGGACGGCCTGAGGATGATCCGAAGACATGCCATCACAATTTTGATCCTCTGCAGAGGGGATGGCTCCCCTGCTTTGGTAGCCCGACGACCTGCACGCGAAGACGAGCACTTTACGGTAGAACACTGTAACGAGGACCAATACCGCACCCCTCGGTCCCTACGCAGACTGATACAAGTGGTCACCCACCCGCACACTGACCGCAGCCAGCGATGCTTGACTTCGGTGATCTGGTGGGAACCATGTCTTAACGATCAGTCCACTGCGGGACCACATAAAGTTGAAGTCCCAAAAAAGCATAGGCGATTTATAACGATTTTTTTTTCTTTTTAATTAAAAATATATTTTTCGATAGCAAATTGTTAATGATGTTTCGTCAAATTGGCAAGCATAACGATGTAACAGTTAACATTAATTTTTAAATTATAAATCTCATTGAATTCCATTTAGAAGAAACCTATTTCATTTGAAGCATCCCTAGCAACAATTCTATCTTGGCCACAAAATTGGCTCAATATGGGTCAATATAGGGTTGATATTGGTTGTAAAGTGGCTGTAAAATATCGGATGAATCGGACAATTTTATATAGGGCCCATATCGGTTAAATAACGACCCTTTGAACCCTTACTGAGCCAAAATTCGTAAATATTAGTCCAATGAGAGCTCAAGTTATTTCGCTGCTAGGGATCAGTGCAAAGTAAAGTTTGTGCAGATCAAGTGTCGGTTTAAGGTGTTTTCGAAATCTGGGACAGATGGGTAAAGCCCTATCATTAATATATTTTGTAACAACCATTTTACTCCATAACAAGGTTTTCGTATTTTATTTCTTTAAGTTTTCAAACCACAATTATGATCTCAGTAGCAAAATAATGTGGTAAACAAATGATTCACTCACCGTATCCCTAAATTCCTGACTCATCTATTAAGAAAAAGATGACTGTAGTGAAATTGAAATTACTTTACTTGGATTAAGTACCAACTGTCTTTTTCATTAAAAACGAAAACTGATTGAACATTACAAAGTAAACCCTCCCCTCCCTTTGTGTTTAACAAAAGTTTCTGTCAAAAAGAACATTTTCAAATTTAATCATAAAATTTCACTAGTGGAGATACCAGGATAAAGATTTTAATAACATTGAATTCATTTATATTCTTTTTTACTAACAGTTTTTTTTCACAATCACATTTTATATTGTAGTCTGACAAAATCCTTCATTATTCAGGCTGGCCGGACGGGATGGATGGATCTTCCAACGATTTTCACTATTGGCGATCGAAATGGGCTGCAGGTGGCGTTGAGCAGAACTCTCTACCTATGGCAACTCTTCACATGCTTTCCCCATTAGCGTGTGGAGAATCATAGAGGAAGGAAGTACGCTATAGTTTCTCTCTCGATTTTCATATAAATTAAAAAAATTTTAGTTGAAAAACTATATGGAACTGAAAACTACATTAAACATAGTTCTAAAGAAAAGCATCACGGAAATTTTACAAAATTTCTTTATTAAATAAAAAGGAAAAATATTGAGAAAAGAGAAATTATCGTAGTACATTCCTATACAACTGAAGAGAGGGGAGGAAGAAGGGCCAAAAGCATGAAACCGGTATCTCCCTAGATGGCGTATTCGAGCGTTGCGATCGCGAATTCGGCAAATTTTGTCTGGCCATTCGGCATTTTTGCAAAATTTCATTTTTCGCCCTTTTTTTAGAAAACACAAATAAAATTAGTCAATATTGCACCTTTTAAATAGTGAGGATAAAAATATGCAAAAATAACATTTCACGTATTTTATACCACAATTCTTATATTTTCCTCAATAAATAAAATCCAAACCTTGCCTTTAGAAAGCTTATTTTTCAATCAGTTCTCATGGAGCTCCTTTTTCCGATTACAAACGAACCAGTTTTATCAGAAATTCAGAGATAAAACGCCAATTAGCTCATCTTCAAGTACTACACTTCTATTATGCAAAAGAAAAGAAAATCAAAAACTGTAACAGTGAAAAAGTAGATACAGTGTGGTTAGTTATTATGCTGCATTAAATATCTTATTGTTCATTTTTCAGATAATAAATAAGCAAAAGTGTAAAAAGTTCTATTTATTTTTATGAATTAAAATCATTTCACTTTGGTTGTATCAAATCTATTTCCTTAGCAGTTAGTAAATTTGATTCAAAGATTAGCTCTATGCATGTAAGTTGATACTATATTTGACAAATCATACTTATTTCTTAGCTGCCACACCTTTTTAATAAGTTTTTTTCTAGTGGTAGAGAAATAAAAATTGCAACAATAACTGTAAGCTTAAATACGTTAAACTTTATCAGCACTTAAAACCCCAACAATGATTACCAGATAGTTTTCATGTGTTGAAATTAATGAGGTATTTACGATGACCAAGAAAATTTCATATCAAATTTATTAAATTAAAAAGCAAAAGAATGGATGTTTTTTCATGATACGGTCAAAATAGGAACTTCATTCGGCAAAATCGGAGTTTTGCCCCACCCAAAAATCAAAGTTTGCAACCCCCCTTTTATTCTGCTCTGTGTACATCTAATAAAGATCACACCAATGTCCTTATTGCAATTAAAATAAATAATTTTAATACTAAGTAAAATACTTAATATTTTAAGCTAAAAAGATTAAAATACAAATATATATATATTTGTAAATATTGTCTATATAGGAACTTCATTCGGCAAAATCGGAGTTTTGCCCCTCCTAAAAATCAAAGTTAGCAACCACCCTTTTATTCTGCTCTGTGTACATCTAATAAAGATCACACCAATGTCTTTATTGTAATTAAAATAAATAATTTTAATATTAAGTAAAATACTTAATATTTTAAGCTAAAAAGATTAAAATATAAATACAGTGAAACCTGTGTATAACGATACTGTCTATAACGATAAACCTGTCTATAGCGATATTTCCTTGAGGTCCCGGTGAAATTCCTATTTACTCAATGTATTTTTAACCTGTTTATAGCGATAACCACTTTTCAGTTAAACATGTCTACAACGATAATTTTTCCTCTTTTGATAGTTGATAGTTCTATTCCGATTTTTCTACCGTTGGAAAACGACTCCCCATCGAGCCTAAATGTGAGATAACAAAATGTTTTTTTTTTTTTTCATCTCCTTTGTATGTAATATTCTTTCGTTGTTTCTGAGAAAAAATGCCACTTTTAGGGGAAATTAGAGCAGTATAAATGGGTGAAGGGGTATTGTAGGAGGGAGCTTCGTCAGAAATGCTGATGAAACTGGCTTATTTTATCAGCTCATGCCAGATAAAACAATGGCATTTAAGGGAGAAAATTGTAAAAAATCAAAACAGAGGTTAACTGTTCTACTTTGTGCGAACAGTACTGGAACAGATAAACTGAAGCCGTTCGTTATAGGCAAATACGCTAAACCTAGATGTTTTAAGAATGTGAAAAGTTTACCAGTTGACTACAAGGCAAACAAAAGAGCCTGTATGACAGAAGAAATATTTAACAAACTGGCTGCTTGATGTGGATAAGGAGATGAAAAGAAAGAAGAAGAAAATAGCTCTCTTAGTTGACAACTGCACTCCTCACAACAATCCTCCAAGTTTGAAAAATATAAAATTGTTTTATTTTCCCCCAAATTGCACGTCGAGTCTACTGCCATTAGATTTGGGAATAATAAAATGTTTCAAAGGATACTATCGAACAACAAGATTAATTCAGAACGTTGTTTATAATCTGGATAATAAACTCCCAAATCCTTATGCAGTTGATGTGAAAAATGCATGTGATTGGATTTCCGGAGGGTGGAATTCATTGGCACAATCCACCATCCAAAATTGTTGGAAGAAAGCTTCTTTCTTTGAGGAAAAAAACAACGGAAACGCAGAAACTGAGCTTACTGAAATCACTGATGAAGAAGAAAAATGTTTGGCAGGCCTCAATTCGATTGTCAGTGATTTCCAAAGATCATCTAATACATCATTTCTATTTAACGCAGATGAATTTTTTAATTTAGATAATGATGTGTTGGTTTTCAGTGGTGCAAGTGATGAAGAGATTTTAGCAGAAGTTATCCCGGGTGATCNTATTTAACGCAGATGAATTTTTAAATTTAGATAATGATGTGTTGGTTTTCAGAGATTTTAGCAGAAGTTATCCCGGGTGATCAAAGTGATGAGGAAGAAGCAGCTGACTATTCTCAAAACAGGACTCAAATTTCACCCGAGAATGCCATATTGCTAATTAACACTTTGCAAGATTTTGTTGCAACATTTCCAAATGTAACTGATGTTCATTTGAATTCATTAGATGGACTGAAATCTATGAGCATGGAAATGGCAATTGCTTCCAAAAATAACCAAACAAAACTAACCGATTATTTTTCTAAATAATTTCTGTTTTGATTCATAAAATTGTAAGTAAATTTTTCTTGTGTGCTGTTTCATAATTCTAAGTAAAATTTTCATTTGGAGCCTATAAAAGAAGTTTAATTTATCATTAGTTTTAAACGTATACTTTTAAATTTCAAACCTGTCTATAACGATAACCTGCCTATAACAATATTTTATTTAGGTCCCTACAGTATCGTTATAGACAGGTTTTACTGTATATATATTTTTGTAAATATTACGAACCAATAACTGAATAAATAAACTCATAGTCATTTTTATGCAAGCTCAACACTCTCATAAATTTGTAAATGACTAATGACCTGCTTGTCAGTCAGATATTAAATAAAAATTAAACTGATTTAGATCAGAAACATTTAAAAAGAAATTAATTTATCCTAAATTACTCTTTGCAGAATAAATACTTCATTATTTATATACTTAAACTACCTAAATATTTCATAAGTTTTAAAAGTACTTGCCTTTAAATGAATATAAAAGTAAATGGGCATTACTGAAATTCATCAAACAGCTAATGTAAAATTATAACCTTAGAAGTATTAGGAACTTTTATCGACATTTAGTTCTAGTTCTTTTTAATATCGTTGAGATTTGTTACAGTATTTTGAATATCAAAAAAATAATAATAATAATAATTAAATACACTACTCTTGTTATTTTTCTGGTTAAAATCTTCAACATCAATGAAATCAGACTTTTAAAAAAATCACAACCATAAAGACTTAAATTAATTGTACTGAATAAAAAAGCTTTCTACTTAAATGATCTGATCAGATCAGAAGATTAAAAAAAGTTTTCTTTTCTTTTTTAAATTGAGTAATTTAAATTATGCCAATCTTGCAGGGAAGACTTTTATATTAGTACTTACTAAATAGAGGACATTAAATTTTGACGACAACCAAACAGTGGCACACACAAAATAAACAACAAAACAAAAACAGAGCAGGAAAAACTTGAAGGGTATAATTTGCTATTTCTTTCAATTTATAACAAGTAAATGATTACAAGGCGATTACAGTTGTCTTGAGCAAAAACACAAACATATAATAAATACCCATGTGTTGGGTAATCACATAACGTCGATTATTTTGAATAGTCTATCACTTAAAACTCTCAAAAATCAACTCAGCATGTTCAAAATTTAACTGAATTTTTTAAAATTATATCTTAAAATTAGCTCAACACAAAAATAACTTTATGCAACTCAAAAAGAGGAGAGGATTGCTTATGAGATCCATTTCTTGGATAAATGGAAAGGGCCTAACTAAAACTAGGGTTAAGTGTTTTTGCTTACACCAAAGTATTTTATCTTAATCTTATATATTTGGAAATTTTTTTTTAATTTTTGGAATAATGCAGGCAGAAAGGGAAATTAGATTTGAGAATTGATATTAAGTCAAAAATATCCATTTTGTTATTATAAAATTTTATAAGTAAACTGGACTCTACATAGAAATAAAAACAGTTTAGAAATTCCAGATAGGAAATGGAAATATTTAAGATTCGGAATTCTTAATTTCGTACTAGAAATGCAAATAATTCTTAACTTTTTATTATTTATTTTTAATTCTGAAAAATTTTCACTTCGGAAAAACTACAAAAAATAAATAATTTTTCATATTTTATGTTATTAGTTTAAATGTGTTTACAAGATGCATTTAACAAAATAAGAATAATATAAAATTAAACAAACAAACAAATTGTTTTTCTTCTCCTTTTATATACTACTATATGTAATTTAAAGAATTTAAAGTGCCGCACAAATAAAAAACTGCTACTACTTAAAAAATTTAAATGCAGTATGATTTTTAAATTTTTCTTTCTTACATTTAAATATTGGTAAAATTACGAATCTTGTTTTGAAATTTGCTGGTTTAATGACAATAAGTAAAGTATTAAAATTGTATTCAAAATTTGAAAAATTACCGAAAAAATTTTAAACATGACTTAAAATATTTTTAAAAGAATTTGTTTTTTTTTTTTGGTTGAACTGTTCAAATTTCGCAATTTTCTGAAATAATATCAGGAATTCTCAGATTCCTGAAAAAATATCTCTGGGCACCTTTGTCAAAAAAGAAAAAAATCAAGTTATAAATTGGAAAGAAAAAAAAAAAGAAGATGAAAACTACTTTTCTAGTTTTTTGTTCTTTTTTCAATAACTTTTGAAATCAATTTTTTTTAAATTAACATTCGTTATTTTTTACCAATAATATATCAGTCTACACATCAAAAAATGAACTGTTTTAAAAATGTTTACTTAATGAATTGATGAATGTATAATGAGATAGAATTAAAATATTTTAGGAAAAAAATTGTTTATGATTATCCACTTCTAAATTATTTTATTTAAATTTTTTTAGAAGCAAATGCAAATAATCCTAAGCTTTTTTTTATTTCTTATTTTAATAACTTTTTTCATCTGCCAACAAACACAAAAATAAAATAAATTATTTTTTTAACTTTAAAATTTTGATTTCAATAAAGTGAAAAATAAATCTTAAGTTGTTTTTGGAAGCAGAAGCTATAGTAGAACAAAATTAAATAAATTGATAAGTGGCAAAAATAAATGCTTAAAAAAAGAGCCTGAACAGGTTTATCCTCAAAAAATAAAATAAAACAATCGAGGAATTAAAAAATGAGTGATCTAAAGGAGAAATCATAAAAATTTTAATTCAGTTTGATGCATGTTTCATTCACAGAAGTTTATCGAAAGAAAAACAATCTTATAAATTAAAATATAAAGTACTATAAAATAATCTTCATAATAAAATAATACAGAAGTTCCAGACAGTTAAAGCCTTTTTTTTTCTCATTATGTTTGATGGCATTGCACCAACCTTGACTTTATTCTCCTTTTGGAACACTATAAAGTAGTTCATTTGGTTTATTAAATGTTGATCAATTAAATGTTGATTTATTAAATGTTGAGTAACGTAGCACAATAAAATACTTGTGGTAAGTGCTTGGAGTTATTCATGAGAATTTTTATAAATCTTCTACTTATCAGCGGAGATAGAAAAAATATCCGTGTATTAAGGGGTGGAGTTAATTGAATGATTTTAAATATTAATTACAAAATAACTAGTAAACTCACAGAATTAAAATTGTTGTCTATCCTCATAAAATGGCACAAAGTTTTTCTTAAAATAAAAATATCACACAGGTTCCTCATTGCATCCAGTGGTAGATGCAAAAATTAGGAAATGTCCTCTGTCATGACAATCTAATGATGGCAGTTTTCTCACTAACAATGCACACATTACCATAAGAACATCCTCTTCATGCTACACTTCTAAAATAACTTACTAATCAGTACTGTTGCCTTTAATCCTTAATAACAGATTCAATATTTTTAATTCTACATTCTCGTTCTGCCAACATATTTAACAAAACTTCAACTTTCAATTTTAAAAAATTATTTTCTTCTTTAAGTTTGGTAATTTGTGTCTTTAAATCAGACTCTGTAATGGGCTGAAGAGTTTCAGAGAGCAGATCATTGTTCTGCTTCTCGTTCATTATCCAGGAACCATCATGAAAAATTAACTTAGTTTCACCTAAATTTAAACTTAGATCTTGGTCATCTAAGTTTAAACAGTTTTTATTATCAACACTTTTTCGTCCTTGTTGCTTAAAGAAAGACATATTAAACTAACGTCTTAGTTAACTTTAACGATGGAAATCTGGATAAGTGATCAGTTTTGAGAACTGTAAAGAATAAGGAAGTGTATCAAACAAATGTTCACAGAAAACACGAATTAACAACAAGCTAGAAACAATTTATTGGATTCATTTAAAAAGACGATGAGACAAAAAGAGCTTGAAAAAAAAAACGATGAAATATAGAATCAAACTATAAATTGATTTTTTCTTCAGAGCGAGTTTATAATTGTCATTAGATTATTGACAATTAACGCAAGATATATACTAAAATTTTATTTATTAATCGTTGAAATTAATTCGTTAAATCCAAACGCTAAATCTGAGACTTTTAGCTGCCTATTTCTGCGAGTTCTTCGTATCAAAAATTTTCAGAACAATTAAGTCCCAATAATAATAAAGATTCGGTTGACTTCTGAAGAAATGAAAATCTATTAGAAATTTGTGAGTACTCTAGTTTTTCAGACAGTGGTTAAGAATTTGAATGCAGGATTTTGAATCGCAGATGTGAAAGTATATATTTTCTTCGACGGTAGTTGAAATTGCGTCAACGCTTTTTGATAGGAGTCAAGCCAACCACATTCTTCTTCCATTGTAGTTTAGGTTAAGCACTTACTCACATCCAAAGAAATGTTTCCAAAGTTATTTTGCAGAATTCGGCGAAATTCTATTTTGAATTAAATCGTGTAATTTATTTATTGAGAAAAAAATGTTATAACTTTAGTTATTTAGTCTATTTTTAACAATTCCTTACAAACCATTAATTAGCACTTAATAACTAAATGGAGAAAAGTAATTTTTTTTATCTTCAACTGTTTAATTTTTTTATCTGTTTCTCTACATGCTTGTTGTATGTAAACTTTTGATAAATTTTTAGAACAAAAAAGTTGCTGCATTAACCTTGTTTTCTTTACTAAATTTGCTAATTATATAAATACTATTATCTTATGAAAGTATTTTTCCCATGCCACAGTTAGTTATAGACTTGAATTATTCAACTCATATTAAAGAATTTCAAGCAATAATAAAATATGTGTTGCATGCAGTATTATTTTTGGGGTTGGGGAACGCTGTTGTCCGAGATATTTGGTTTGCTGTAGTAAGAAAGACTTTAAATAGTTCAAAACAGTTTTTGTTCTTTTTCTTCTTTCTTTTTTTTTTTTTATTCATGAATTTTTTTTTTTTACGAAACAGAAATTTCTGCTTTTTTTATTGTACATATTTTGTAATCTGGTGAACAAGGTAGCTAATCTAAGAGCAATAATTACATTCAAATGATAAAAAAAGTATGGCTCATTAAATTCACTCAATTTTTATTTGCATAAAGACACAAATTTTAAAGCAAGTAACATAAGTTATTACAAATGTGAACTTCTCTTACTGTTAAACTCTAACAAAACAAATCTGTATCTTTTCTTGTGTATATGCTTACATGTATTTTCTACCTTCCAACTATCAAGACAATGTGTTTTGCAAATATAAAGGGCGTAGTACTTTTAAAGTGCTATTGAAGAATTGTGTACGCACTCAGTAATATTTAATAGACATTTACATAGTTTATTATATTATGTAATTATTTTATCAATAGCTTTTATGATAAATAAACTAAAGATGATGAATAAATAATGCAAATTGGTAGCATCGTCCCTTTTTTTTTTAAGAAAATAAATATTTGCATTTTTTTAAAATTAAAGCTGGCCAAGTTATTTGAATTAGTCGTTTTTTGGCCTAACAAGAATCAGTCAACTATACTTTATAAGAAGATGAGTTCCCCGAAATATTTTTTTCCAACTACAGCACTGTTCACATGGAGTAAATTTTAAAAATACAGTGAAATCATTTTAGTTTTAACCTAAAAAAGCTCAATACTTTTTATAAAAAAATATGTTTCTCGTGTTTTTTGAAAATAAAATTGTAATTCTGCAATGAGTAAAACATAGTTTTAACCTAAGAAAGCTCAACGCCTTTTTTACAAAAATATGTTTCTCATGTTTTTTTAAAGCAAAATTATAATTCTGCGATGAGTAAAACATTGTTTTTTTCAAGTCACTGCATAGACTTTCTATTTTTGTTTTTAAAATTATTTTACAAAAGAATAGTAAGTTTCTTCCTCAGTTGAAAATATTGCCTGAAAGATGTAGGGTTTTTCTGACCTAAATGGAAAAAACATTTTTCCAGAAGGAAAATATCAAATACCGAGGCAGATTTTTGTAAGCAGTTTGAAATTGCAATCTAGTTTAAATAGTAGTTTTAATTTCCAAACTATTTAATTGTATAATTTTTAAATTAATGAGAAAAAACCAATAATTAAAAAATATATATTTAGTGATTTTCTTAAGAAATTAAAATATCTAATTTTGAAATATGTGTAAATGAGTATAATAATAATCTAAATTTACAGTTGAATGACGAACTATTAAAATAACATATTCATATTTATTAATATTACTAAATAAAAAAAAAGCTTATACTAAATATATACGCTAATAAAAAGCAGTTATGAAAGCTATTTAAACTATTTATACAAGTTATTTAAAATAGATTTGAAAAACTTATAACTTTCTGGTACTATATCTATATTATATAAAACGCTAATACGTATGTATCAATAAAACCGATGATATTTCNTCGACAGGGTCTTTTCATTGACAGGATCATTTCGTAGACAGGGTCATTTCGTCGACAGGTCATTTCATCGACAGGGTAATTTCGTCTATAAGTCACTTAGTCGACAGAATCATTTCATCGACAAGTCATTTTGTCGACAGGGTCATTTTGTCGACAGGGTCATTTCATCGATATGATCGTTTCATCGACAGGGTCATTTCGTCGGCACACCATTTTATCGACACCACTAAATGCACAGGTTTAGAATTTTCTACAGTGAAAAGTTTTCGGAACTTCAGTGTTCAAAAAAGTATACAAAAGCTAAACATTAAGAATGTACCTAATGAGCGAGCATCGGATTGCGCAGCAATCCGAAATGAACTGCGAAAGCAGTTCCGGGGGTTGGCGAGCGCCAGCGAGCAGGGGGTGAAACCTCCTAGTTAAATTTTATTTGTTAAAATTCATGCTCTTCTTTCAATGCTTCTATACATTTGTTCAGGTCTTTTTTTTATAGTTTCCTCTATTTCATCCAATGTTTTTCAGTGTCCATTAAGAATTATAGTATTTAGCTTCCTTTTCTTCTCTTTTTTTAAAAATGGATGTAAAAAAAAGGACAACTGAAGCTTTATATGATAGTTTTTATTCAAAATGAAAACTTTTCAGGACTAAAAACTAGACATGGGAAAAAGTTTTTTTTGCACTAAATTTTGTGATTTCATTAAGTATTTTACCATGAATTAAAGTATTAAGTGAAGTTCCTAACAGGTAACGTAGTTTCTAACAGGTAGCATGAACAAATATTCAAATTTTTTTTTATATATAAACTGTATTTAATTTCTTTGTAGTGTTGGCTTGTCTTTTTATGTCCAAATTGATTGTTAAAATTAAAATTTTAAATAGAAAGTAATGGATGAATTTGTTTTTTTTAGGATTATTTTCGTATTGATATCTGTCAGAAAATAATAGCCAAGTTTTTGTTACTTTTGGACATTGGCCTGCAAGAACTTCAAAATCCTAGAAGAGGATCAACTCAAAGGATATAACTTATACCAACCCCAGGCAAATCTCAATAAATTGTTTTCAAAAAATAATAATAATAAATAAATAAATAATGTTTGGTAGTTTAAAATCTCTTTGTCAAAATATACCTGTATTATCCCTTATATGTTTGAAACATTTGTTTATATGTTTAAATTAAGCATTTTAATTTTAAATAATAATTCAATAATATTTTACTTGTTTAGTTATTATTCTAAAATTATTTTATAGTTATTACTGAATAATAATTTAATTTGTTAAAATCCATGTTTTTGTTTTAATGCTTTTACACATTTGTTTAGGACTTTTTATTTATTTATTTTTTTTTTTTAATTTCAGTTTCCTCTATTTCGTCCAGTTTCTTCCAATGCTTTTCAGTGTCCTTTAAGAAAAATGTAGTATTTTGCTTCCTTTTTCTTTCATCTTTTTTTTAAAAAAAACATTGATGGAAGAAATAAAACAGCTGATAGTTTTCATTGAAATGAAAACTTTTTCTGAGATAAAAAGGGAATAAGTCTGTTTAGTTTATTAGCAATTATATGATATATCATATTGTTATCCCTTAATTTATATAAAAGTGTGTTGCACTAAATTTTGCAATTTCATTAGGTATTTTACCATAAGTTAAAGTGTTTTTAAGTGTGGCTACCTGTTTTATTATTTTTCTAGCAAGTAGCACAAACAAATAAATATTCATTGAAAAGAAAAAGAGAAACAGTTTTTTTCTTTTCTAATTTTGCATTAAGTTTGCACATGGTACTGGCTTGACTTTTTATATCCATGTTGGTTGCTAAAATTGCAATTTTAAAAACAAAGTAATGGATAAATTTGTTATTGTGGGATAATTTCTATATTGGTATCCTCCACGAAATAATTGCCAAGTTTTTGCCACTTCTGGGCAGTGGCCTGTTAGAAACTAAATATCCTAGAAGAGCATCAACTCAATTTTCTATAAATTATATCCACCTCAGGCAAATTTCAATACATTAAAAAAAGAAAATTTTCGCAAGTTTGAAATCTTTTTATTGCTTTGGAGCGAGAACGAAACAAAATATCCCTATAGCCGATACAATCCTAATTCGTTATATAATACAATGTCCTAATACGTAATGCAATGTCCTAATATGTAATACAATGTCCTTATATGTTTCAAAGATTTACTTATGTGTTTATTTTAAGCATTTTAGCTTAACTAAATTAGCTTTTTTATTTTTGTGTAGTCATATTTGTATCAAATTAAATTATGGAACTTCCACAAAAAAGAAAGAGAAATGCTGTCATTAAGATAGAAAGTTTTGAAGATGAAGAGGATGCAACTAGTGAAGATGAAAAAGATGATGATTTTTTGCCTATGCCTAAGAAAAAGAAAACTGTTAAAGCTGTTGAAAAAGTACCTAAACCTGCTAAAATAAAGGTATTAATGTATTTTTATGTTTTACATGGTAAATTAATGAAACCATTATGTTTATTTAGATATTAAAATATAGTTCAGCATTATATTATTTGTGCACTTACTGCACAGCTTATATATGTACTTATTGTTGTTAAAATACCTATATTGATAAATAGTAATTCTAACAAACTTAAACAGACATTTTATTTTTCTCTTCTATGACTTAACGATCCTTCAAATTTAACTGTCTGAAAATTCTGCAAATATATGGCCTGCCTGTTTTATAACTTAATAAATTATTTTTATGTTATCAAATAAGGAAATTGGATTTAAAAAAAATTCATAAAATTGCTTGTGCAGAAAACACTAAAAAGTTTTAATGTATAAATATACCAACTTTTTTCCTTGTTTTACAAAATATGAAAGTATTTGTAGTTACCTTTTGGTAATTGAGAAAATGCTCATTATATTTAGGGAAAGGCAAACTGCTTATTTCTATATTAGAAACTTATGTTTGTATAAAAAAGTAAATGAAAATTATTCTAAATACCTTAAGAAAGTTACAAATATGTAAATTTGCATGATAATATTACATTAAGGCATATAATGTATGATAGAACTGAATAATATTCTATGATAGCTCTTATGTTTATAAAAAATATTTGAATTATGCTATCAAAATAATTCATAAGCACATTACGTAATATAACTTTTCTAAAAATAGAATTATGAATAATAAACAAATTTCTTTAAAGTATATTCAGTATTGTAAAATAAATATTTGTTTTTTAACCCCATAAAATTTGTATTTACCTGCGAAATGGATGGAGAGTAGCTCATTTTTTTTTTTTTTTTAACTGACCTTTTCAACTCTTAGGCATTAGGCCTTGAGTCTCAGGCTTTTGTGTCCAATCTCAGGACCTGAGGCTTTTTTCTTTTAAATATCTGATCAGAAACCCTGTGCACAGTTTGCATAAAACTTTCCTCTTCGAGTACCAAGTTTCTTGTTGGTAGTTTTTCTGTGGTTGTAAAAATGACTAAGCTAGTTTCTTAACATGTCTTAATCCGTTTTTTCATATGTGTGTCCAATAACTTAGTTTTGTGCTTTCAGTTGGCTTTGTGTTGGTTTATAATAACACAAAAGCAACATAAACACCATTAAACAATACAAAGACAGATTACCTTTTGACATAATGTGTTCTAAACAACTAATATACACATACATGTTAAATCATATTCCTATATGTGTTATCTGAAATTATATTTCAAATCAGTATTGCAGTGAAGAATAATTGAGTGAATTATTACTCCTTTTTGTAATATAAAATATACAATAAATCTAAAGTTGAAATTCACAAAATGATAAAATTTTTTTATAACTGAAATTCATTTTTTTTTTCAATTCATAGTAGTGCTCTTGAAAAATTCAAAGCTTGTTTAAATGAAAATTCAGAAAATACTTTTTTTTTAAATTTAAGCACCTTATTTAAGAAAAAATAACTATTATTAAAACTTAAATGTTCATTTGTATTAGCATAATTAAAATTAATTTATTCTAAGATTTTTTTTATTACAAAAGTTACTCATTTATTAAAATAAAAATTTTAATGTTATTTCTTGTACATTCATTATATTTGCTGTTTGTTATTAATTTTTTTATGTATTATTTTGTTTTAATCAAGAAATTAGTATGTTTACCTAATGACACAATTATATATGAATCATAATCAAGTTATTTTCTTTAAACATTTTAAATATTTTAATTTAATTATAAAAGATTATTTCAAAATATTTTAAATGTCAACCCAGTGGACTGGTTTTAATACTTGTCTTAAACAGAATGTTTTATCTATAGAAATTCTATGAAAAACTTGTTTTGATGCAATATTTTTATTTAAATTTGACTTGGTTGTACAAAATTAAAGAATTCAATTGCATTATTTTTATTGTTTTCTATCAATTATAATTGCTAAAAAATTCAGTAAACGATTTTTATTGGCAGAGAAATGCTTGTTTAAATTTATTTGAATTAAGTTGTAATTAAAAAATTACTTTATTTTTCATTTATGGCTCTTTTTCAATTGTAGTTGCGGATTGAAGAAAAGAAACTTTAAAGAACTTGTGTTGACGAAAAAAAAAATTTTTGCATTAGTTTGTCTCAGTTGTACAACGATTTAAAAATTAAATTCTATTTTTTTATTTTCATTTTCACACGAAAAAAAAAGTGATTGTAAAGGACGAAAAAAGTTTTTTCTTTTAATATTGTTTTGTAAGGATGCAAGACGATGGAAGAAGTACACCATCATAAAGAGCTCAGTATTTTAATTATACATTCACATTAAGCATTTAACAATAAAGGGTAATAACGTAACATTAACTAACATAATAAGAACTTTAAAGTTTTACTCAAATGAGTGGAAAAAGGGGAACCAGGATGGTTCTCAGAGCTCGTCTTGCGTCATCTCATATAAAGTCAGAATAGGACTATTGTTATTGTTTTTGCAGATAGAGGGGTAGCGCCATCTGGTGCTACGAATTAACTATCCGTTACAGTTTAACATAACAAAAACTTAAAATTTTTCTAAGCTTAAATAGTAATGATTTGAATGATAAATAGTTTCATCTCTTAAATTGCATGTTGAATAAAAAAAAATTAACATTTAAATCAAGAAAGCTTATTTACTTCACTTTTGTTATTACTTAGCATGCCTATTTATTTTTTCACATTGAAACAAAGTTGACTTTTTAAAATTTAGTATCACTTTCGTATATATGTGTAAAAATGTTTTCTATTTGCATTTAGAAAGAAAAGCCTGTGAAGATTAAAGTTGAAAAGCCTCCAAAAGTGAAAAAAGTGAGGGCTGCTCCAAAGGGAAAGAAAACTGTTGTGAAAAATGAATCTGGAGATACACTCAAAACTCAAAAAATATTAATAAAACATGAAGTAAGTGGCATGAAATAAAATATGAATTTCAAGTGTTTTTGGCAAAAAAATATTTATTGAATGTTTTTGACAAACCAAATATGATGTCCTGAAATGTAAAAAATATTTTTGAAAAAATTGTGTTCATTATTTTTTTTTAGATATTTAAAATAAAAAAATTTATTAAATAAACAAGTTGTCGATATAATTTACTTATCGAATTTTATTGTTACTACAAAATAAATTCTCTTGATAGCCTAGTGTTATAATTTTATATATTTTTTTATAATACTTATTTTTGACATAATCTGAATGTACCAAATTAGGCTTTCAAAAAGGGATGTGCTTCTTTTTTCTAAAGAGGGCCGTAGACAAAAGAATTTTGTTTTTAATGAATTCAATATTTAGATAAATTGAATGTAATTTAATTTTGCCTAAGTGTTATTAGAATAATATCAATTTGTCTTAAAATCAAAAGAAAAGTAATATCTTTGATTTTAAAGAGCATGCATTTTTGCACCGTTTGTTATAGAAAGTTTTTAGCTTTTTATGTGTACAAATTAATTTTATAATATTTAATGTACAGTGCATCAAAAAAATTAACCATCCTGAATAACTTTTGTTCTAATGATTGAATCTTCATGTTCTGGGACTCAATCTTAGTGGTTTGAAGGAGTGACCTCAAATATGCTAATTAACTAGTGCAGATGATATTTTAAGTTATGAAATCAGCCACAAAAATGTACTTTCTCTAAATAAACAATTATTTTGTGAAACTACTGTTTTTCCAAAAGTTAAATTGTGAAGGTACTGCTAAACAGTAGTAAATTAGCCCAGAACAGACCACTGATTATGTGTTTTTGAAATTGAAACAGACATGCTAAATATTATTTTTCAATTAATTCTAGTATGCCTCAATAAATTTTTCATGAAAAGTTATACTTGTGCCAGTTTTTAAAAGTTAGCAAGTATGCTAATATCAATTGGAAATTTTTTGTTACTCTTCAAATTGATTTAAACAACAATGTAACCATCAGACCATCTGTATTGGTAGCTGTGGGCTACACATTAAAAAATAGCCACAACTATTAAACTATGTAAAATTGATAAACTTTATATATACTTCAATGTAATAAAAATCTGTTTGACATGTATTTTAGCATGATAACTATTACTGAGTATGTCCATCAGGGATGAGATTCTTCCGCGGATTTGCGGATTTCCACTTTTTCTCAGATTTTTCCATTTTTCCCGCTAATTTCCGCTGAAATTTTTTTTGCACAAGTTAAAATATTTTATGAGGAATTTAATTTTCCGCAGAGCGAAATTATTGAAGTCCTCATTCCTCCCTCTGAAGTTTCTCTAAAAATCATTTCCTTCGGATAAAACTGATTGACCTTTATACAGGGATGAGATTTTTTTCGCCTTTGTCTCTCGAATTTCAGCCCTTTTATCAAAAACTCAAATTCTCTAAAAATTTCGTTTTTTTTTTATTATTATTATTTATTTATTTATAAATATCCCGTTTTCTTTTTTAAAAAAATTCAGTCGTTGAAGTCAAATAATTATATTTATTTACGATTTTCAAAGAAAAACAGAAAATTCAAACTACGTCCTAGCTGCTAACCCTTCCGCATGTTTACTTATATTAGCTATTTTCTCCGATTTCACTGACAGAAAATAAGATTTTCCGTATTTTTTATCCGTCAGCGGGATAGCTCGTATTTTCGTAATTTAGACGTCGCTGCTTCTTGTATTCTGGAGTGAAAGCAAACAAAAAAAGCGAAAAAAAATAGAGGTGAATTTGCGGTGAAAATATTTATTTGCTCATTCAATTAATCTTGTAAATTTTTATTTATTGTGTAAACAAAAAACAATTCAAACAAGCCTTTTAGAAATCCCAAGTCCAGACTCTGCAAATATCTCGATTTTTATTCACGCGATTTTAATATCAATCATCGATTTTCGTATTTACCTGATTTAAAAGTTGTGCATTGCAATTCTTATTTACGCTTTTTAAATATCGTACATTATGACTCGTATTTACGAGATTTAAAAATCTAATATCGTGTTTTGTATTTTTGCATTTTTAAAATCGCGATTTTATTATCAAACATCGATTTTCGTATTTACCTGATTTAAAAGTTGAACGTTGCGATTCTTATTCAGGCCATTTAAATATTGTACATTGCGATTCTTATTTACGAGATTTAAAAAACCAATATCGCGATTTGTATTTACGAGCTTTTAAAACCCTATGTAGCTACGCGAGCTTAAAATCCAATGTCGTGATTCGTTTTTGCGGTTGTAATATCGCGCGATTTTAAAATTATGCATCTTGATCTAAAAATTATGCATCATGGTTTGTATTTTCGCATTTTTTAAATTTGATGTAGTTTCATATTCACGTGATTTAAAAGCCTCAGATAGAGATTTATAATCACATGGTTTACAAGTTTAAAAATCGCACTTTTGTCAAATTTTTGTTTATATATATATTTATTCTTGGTTTTCCTCTTTTTTACTTTCTGTCTACTCTCATCCCTGATGTCCATGAAAGTCTTGAAAAGACCTAGAATTTTTTATTTATTTTTTTTAATTTGAGTGGGAACGATTATGTATGAGGAAATGAAATATTTATCTATAAAAATTTCTTCAAGTAAATTATCTATTTATTAGCAGATTAAAAATTCTTAAATGTTGATTTTTTTTATTTATTTATGTATTTTTTTTTTTAAAGATTGATGGAGATTTGAATGCTATTTCAAATGTAAACCAAGAGCCTTCTATGAGTAATGCAGACATTGAGAAATTGGTGGCCAAGTCTATTTCTGAAGTTGGTTTATATTTTAATTCCTATCTGTCTATGAACAATTTTTGTTTTGTTAGGAGTATGTTTTGATTCATTTAAATGTATTTTGATAGATTGAGTTTTATGTATTCATTTTTATATATTGATTTTTATGTATTTATTTTTATGTATTTACATTTATTTTTATGTTTATGGATTAGGGTTACAAACCTGTAGCACATATTAAGTAAATTAAAATTATGCATTTTTTGTAATTCAGTATATGTATTTTAAATACAGTATTTAACATAGATTCCGCTGTATAGTGTAGTGTTCAAACAGTTTTAAATATATAGCTAATTCCCTAACAATAGCTTTGTTTCAATTCCTGGAGAAATTCTAACTTTCTGGAACTTGCCTCTTTAGTATTAAAAATTATTTTGAAAGCATTTAAGAAAAAACAATGAAAATTTCATGACAAAATATACCTCATGCCATAGAGGGAACAACCTCTACCTTCACAACATATTAAGTAATTTTTTAGAAAGATCAAAAAATGTGTTAGTATAAAAGTGTTTCCATTATTTTAATTGTGCTAAATCTTTTTATTGTCAGATATTTAATATAAAATTATAAGATTTGTTGAAAATAATAAAAATATGTTTGGTTGTAAAAGTTGGGAAATTGATTATTATAATAGAGTTTTAAATTATTGTTCTTAAAACTTCTAAAGTTTAAAGCTGTTTTTTTGTTCTCAAACTTACCAGCTTAAAAATTCAAAACTGGTGTTCCATATTGTTTCTAATATCCAATTGCACCATTGTACATAACCATTGCACCATTGTACACTTTCGTGTACATAAACCTTTTTTCTCCCTTGATCTCATATTTTGTATCAAAAAGTGAGTTCTTGTACTTATTAAAAGAAAAATTATGTTTTTTTATGAAATATTGCTATGCATACCAAAAATGTAATCTGGAAGTTTCTGAAATTAAGGTGATAACCTGTGAAATTTAGAAGTAGATAAAATGTCTCTTTTTTTTTATTTTGTTTAGGCCAAGAGGACTTACCATCCTTGGGGAGATGAGGAAGTTGTTGCTCAAACTAGTGATGTGCCAATTGAAATCGCCAGAAATGTTATAAATTTACTGAATCAAGAATGCACCATTCCTTTTATAGTTAGATATCGAAAACAGTTAATAGGAGGTCTTTCTGCTGAGAAATTACGAGAAGTACAAGATTCATATGAAGAAGTAAAGTAAGCATCGGGCTTTTCTTTCGTGCATTTCGTTGGATTAAGGTCAAACATTTTTGACTGAAATACGATCATATTCTTGAATCATCTGGTTGAAAAATCAGTTTGAGGATGTAACTTGAAACTAATTAAATAAAATTAAAGTAAAATTTGGGTTTGAGAAAGTGCCAAAGCAGCATAAGCCATCAAATAAATTTTATATAAAATATTAGGGAATTATAATTAAATTGAATTAAAAAAGTAAATTGAAATAGAACATTACAACAGAACTATTTAAATTAATACAGATCTCCCATTTATATTCCTCAGTGAAACACTATGAATTGACAATCTTCAGTGACAGCATTCTGACTTAATATTCTTCAGTGGCAACACTATGTCTTAATATTATTTAGTGATAGCACTCTGACTTAGTATATTTTAGTGACAACACTAGGATTTGTTATTCTTCAGTGACAGCAATGACTTAATATTATTCAGTGACAATAACATGACTTAATATTGTTTGGTGACACAGTACTATGACTTAATATCATTCAGTGACAATTACATGATTTAATATTATTCAGTCACGCAGTGCTACAACTTAATATTCTTCAGTGACAATGCTAAGACTTGATATTCCCTAGTGACAGCAGTCTGAGCTGAAATTAACATAATTGTTTTAAATTTGTCCTCAAATATTCTGTTTCTTGCTTTAGTATTTATCTTCTTATCTTATATTTTTTTTCTAGGAACGAAAATTAATTTGTTTTACTTTATTGATTTATTTTTAAGGTTTAATTTTGCTATCGTTTTCTTTTTGAAATGGAGAAACTTGTTTTTAGACCTTATTCCCTTTTCTTTAGTTTTGTACTTGTTCCACTATAGTGACCCAATATCACATTATAAAATCACATGCGTCGATCCAAGAAGCTGACAAACAGGTGCAGCGGTGACTGGTAGACTGAGAATTTGCAAGGCGTGAGCCTTGAAAAGAAAAAGTGTAAAAATTGCAAATTGTTATTCAGTGACCAGATGTCACAACTATGTTGATTTATTTTATTTGTTCAATTTTTAATGAATAGTGTTTTTTTCCCGATTAAAATAAATTCTAGTCTTTTTGTTTCTTTTTAGGCATGTTCATAAAAAAGTAGAAAATATTTTGAAGACAGTTAAGCATGAAAAGTTTGATGAAAAGGTAGCAACTGCCTTCCTTTCTGCTAAAACTTTAGATGAAGTGGAGTTATTAGTAAGCATTATTTCTTTTTTTAATACTGATTCTTATGATTTTACTGATTCAATCTTGATTTTTATGTTAAATGTTTCAGTTATTAGTTTTTTTTCCATTCAAATCTAAGAGATCAAATGTTTTACTTTAAAATTCTTATTTCAATTTGTTCTTTATATAGTTATTTGCTTTATCTTTAATCATTGTAAGTGCTAGTTATGTGTGAATTTTTTATATTTTTGAAGGAAATTTTTTATAATTTTTAAAGTTGTTGGGTATGTACTATCTTATTCATTATTGTATGACATTATCATCATGTAAACTTTTAATTTATGAATTATTATATCATAAAATTTGTATTGCGTTGATTTTCCAAGCACTATTGGGATTTTTTTAATGTGTTGTATTTTAATTATTCACTATTTTAAGTGTGTAAAGGACTGCCTTAGATTACTTTATTTATTCAATTTTTTTTATAGTATGCACCATTTAAGCCTGGTAGCAAAAGAACTTTAGCTGAAAGATCAAAACAATTGGGACTTGAACCATTGGCATTACAGATAATTGATGGACGAATGCTAATTAACAAGATTGATTTCAATTCCTTAATTAAGCCACAAAAAGGTGATATTTGATTGCAGTTATCTCATAATAACAAAAAGCGATGTTTTGAACCATTCTTTTACAATTTATGCATTTGTAACATATTTGTTTAAATCTTGTTTTGAAAAAAAATTAATAAAATTTCATTAATTTTTTATTAAAGTTTTTAAAACCAAGGGTGTAATAAAACCAGAATGTGATGGTAAAGTAAAAATTTAAAATAGTAACACTGAAAATTTTTTTAATAAGGTAATGAAACTTCGTTATTAAGTGAATACTTGAAATGTTATTTAGCGATATGAATTAAAACTTCCTTGCAAGAAATGAGTGAAAATTAAACTTCGTTGTAGAGGTACCATTGATATTACGTCAGTTAATAATTTATAAAGCAAATTTTGCACTAATGCATTAACTTTTACCAGTAATATGCTAAGAAATATTTTTTCAAAGATTATGGATATAGTGAACTTATTGCTAGTTCCACATAGCAAAATTCATCTGTATAAAAGTGTCTTTTGGTCTCCCTCCCGCGATTAAAAATTTACGATATGATTAAAAAATTTCTTGCTAGAAGCTCACGGGAAGAAAACTTCGTTGTAGAGGTACCCTACATATTGCTTTAGTTAATAATTCATAAAGCAAATAATGTACTTTTTATTGCAATATGGAAAAAAATTATTTTTTCAAAGATTGTGGATATAGTGTACTTATTGCTAGTTCCACAGTCAGTTCACTATTGACCAATTGAACCTTATAAAAATGTCTTTGGGTCTCCTTCCCTCTAACCATGAAAACTTTTCATTTGTGTATGAAAATATTTCGCATCACAGCACTGATAGAAATTTTATTTTTAATATAAACTGACTGTATTTGAGCTTTTAAATTTTCACATTTCTTATTAATATTCATTTTAGTTCTGACTGCATGATAAATACGTCATTGTCTTTTTATAGGACTTGAGAACCAGAAGGACATCATAACTGGTATTCAGCATATTATTGCTGACATAATTTCAAAAGATCGTCGGGTATTAGATTTTATTGTAGAAATGTATGTATATACTTAAATATTGTGTTATATTATTAAAGTGATAGGGTCGTTTAAATTTGGTTTTATTGCTTGTCTTTTGTATTCAGTTCAAGTCTATGTAACTCAATGTATCAAGTTATTGTTGATGTAGCTGAAGTAAGAAAGTGCAGTAATTTACAAATTATAGTTGATTTTTCATCGAAACAGTAAATTTTTATGGTATGTTCAAATCATAAACACTTTGACAACTTTGTTCATTTAGTTTCATATAATATGACAGTAAAATTTGTAATAGTCCTAATGTAGTTTTATAAAAGTGAAACATGCTTCTGTCACTTTCTCTTACATTATATGTTAGCTCCTAAAAATTCTACTGGCTCCAAGAAATGGTGAGCTTTGATTTTACTGTTCTTAATAATCTTTTATAAAATTCATCATGTATGTTACTTGGAAAAAGTTGCTTTAATCTGTGGAAATTCAATANTATAATAATGTATAGTAAAAAATATGATTTTCAAAAAAATATTTTTCAAAAAAATACATTGCCGAATATTTGGCCAAACATTCAGTCAACCGAATATTCGGTAAAAGGGTGGGATACCAAATAGTGGCCAAATATTCGTTACATCTCTACTTTTTAGAATATATAACATTTTAAAGTCTTTCTTCTAAAACATAGGAAACTAAGATATGAATAATATATATATATACTAGCTGAATACCTGTTCTTCGTACGGGATGAATAAAAAAAAACAATTATATCAGTACTGAAGAACATTACAAAACTGAAAGGCATATAGTATTTCTTTAATAAGACTTAATAATTCTAACATTGCAAGATTGTTATGTATTGAACTGGGAGACCATCCATAAATTGCTCAAAAGTGGCTAAGTATCTTATCTATTTTAAACAATTTTTTTGCATTTTTAAATGATATTATAAAGGAAAACACTTGATTGAATAGTTTTTCCTATCATAAAATTGTATTGTTAAGAATCTGAAGTCATTAATTTTTTTACAACTCTTAAATACTTAAATCAAACTTGTGTTTTGTTGATTAATTCACAAAAATTCAAACTGATCTTTGATACAGTTTATTGAAAATGATTTAATTCCATTAATGAATTCTAATTTACAAAATGGTGAACTGCAGAGTACATGAAATTGTTTAAGAAATGATTATTTGCGTTTGAAAATGGTGAAACACTTTTAACTAAAAGTATTAAGTTCTGATTTTTAAAAAAAATGCCAATCAATTTGCATTCTCATAGACAGAGTATTCAATCTTTGGATTCGTTTAGTAAATAATTATTTCACTTGAGATTAGAAAAAATAATGACATATTGAAATGTAAGTCATAACTTTGATATGTTAGCTGCATTTGTTAACATGAGTGCCACTCTTCCGTCCTGAGGAGTGAAATCAGTCTTGAAAAAAATTTCAATTCCCTGAATAATTTTTATTTGTTTGTTTTTCAATAAATCAAATTTTCCACTTTTTTATTCTTAAAAATGTAACAAATATTTTCTATTGCAATAAATCACTGAAAATTACTTTTTAAGGAAAACATTGTTATTTTTCATAATTATTGCAAAATTATCAAGTTAAAATGTCACACAAGACGTACTAAAAGAATGAGCTTGACTGATTTCAACATCTTTTTGTACAAACAAAATTGGTATTGCTTAATCTGAATTCGCTTAAGATAGCATTTCCCCACCCCCTGATAATTGCAATATTTTGTTTAAATTTTTATTATTTGATGATAGCATTTCCCCACCTCCTTTGGAATGCTTGGCAAAGTTACATTAGATTATTTTGAAAAAAATTTAATTGATAGGGCTAGAACAAAATATTGATGAATGAGATATGAATGAATGGCTCCAAAAAAATTGTGGTTTATTATTCATAGATTGGTGTTAAAAGTGTGCGAGGTTAGCTGTTATTTTTGTTTTGTTTACTATTATAATATCTAATATTTGACATTACAAATAAAAAACCAAAGTTGTCTGATGAGAAATTGCATGATATAGATAAAATATGGTTTGGGTTTTCATTGAAATTTTCCTGATACACCTGGAAAAGTCAGGGAATCTTTTTTCCTGAAATTGAGTGGGAACCCTGAACTTTCTAGCATAGAACTCTAAAAATCCAATGTTTGGTTATACGATATTTTGATTATTGTATTTCCCTTCTAATGACATTATAAACTTTCTAGCAGTTTTCCTCATTATTTCTGCAGCTTTTACCCAATTAACATTGTTTTTTTTTTTTAGATATTGTGCCACTAAACCCCCATTAAATTCAATTACAGCTGTGACAGCAAATCAGAAATTTGTCTTATAAAAAGGGACAATTAAATGGAAAAATGTATCCAAGTTTTTCTTTTCCTTTTAGCAATGATATGTTTGATGGTGATACATCATTATTTCTTATGAAAAGTGTTTAATTTAGTGGATAATTAATTTGAGTTATTTTACTCAAATATGTTTATACAATTATAAAATTACATTGAATATGTCAGATAATCAAGATTAGAATACCTTATAGATCAATTTTCGGGAAGGTGACCGTCTCAAAACTTTGGCAAGTCTGTTAATATAATAAGCTGAATGTACCTTATGGTAAACCTTATAAATATTATATTGTAATGAAAGTGAATAAAATGTATCGAAGTTTAAAACTATTCATAAATAATTTTAGCAGTTCATTTTTAAGGTTGTTATCAGTGTTTTTATATTCCACTTGCATTATTATTTACTTTTTTTTATCTTTTTCTTATACATATTTGAAGAATTTCTTTCTCAATTTAGGAGTCATCACAATCAAATTCGTATTATCAGTACTAAATCAGCAAGTGCAGAGAAAGCAGACAGAGCAGCTTTTGTTGAGGGAAAGAATACGCAGAATTTTAAATATGAAAATTATTTTGACCAAAATATTCTGATTAGAAATATTGCAGCTCATCAGGTAATCTTTTAAAGAATATTACTTAAATTGCATTTATTTCCTTTATTATTTGAATGTTAAACTTTGACACATTGTGATTCAAATCAAATTGTTAAAATTAAGCAATATTAAATCAGAATTTTTATCCTTTGTTTGCTTCAAAGAAATAATTTATTAATCACTTAAAAATTTTTTTACAAATTGGATTAAACTGTCACACTTATATGTATACTTATAACCATCGTTGAACAGTTGACCTGATTTTGGGTTTACGACTACTAATGTTCAACTCCGTAGTCTTGTAATTTTGAACCCAATCCAGAAGACAAGGGAACTTCTGGATCAAGTATTGAGAGAAATCTGCCTTCTTGGAGGACTTTTTGACGAAACTAACCCGCATTTGCGTTATATGGAGAGGAGAGTCTCGAGCCTGTCGGCAAAGGGACTCTAACCCATGATCCGTCTACCATTGAGGATATTTCACTTCAGTACTGTGGTCGATGCAGATTAATATTGACTAGCGATCGCTGGGATTTGAACCTGGTTCACATCATTGGAAGGCGAATGCTCTATCCCCTAAGTCATTGTGGCACTCTGTCACACTTATAAATAGTAAAAATAAAAAAATTTGAGAGATGAGAACAAAAAGTATAACTTATAGAAAATAATGAAATAGCTTAAAAATTTTCTCTCACATTGTTGTCCCACTAAGGCTGCTGGTAATTTCTCCGAAAAGGGTCCCTGCAGAGACAAGTGTTCCTGGTAAGAAAAAAAAAGGACAAGCATCTTTTGTTCTACAATTTAAGGGAGCAACTAATCAAGCAAATACCTCTTGACTCTTCAGTGGCCAATAAAATGATGATCTTGCCAATTTGTGTCAAATTCATGTTCTTGATTTGGGATAATGGGCATCTACTTACATCCTATTTTTGATGCTTGATTTCACCAGGGTACACGGAGTCAAGGATAACGTTTAGCTGACCCTAGATTATTAAGTAAGAATCGGAAACAACAGATTTTTTTTATAAAACTTGTGTATTATTTTTGCGCATACCAACGAACGAAACTGTTAACTCTTTGTAAAATTTGTTCTACATTAAGCTGTGTAAAGATAATTGAATAAAAATATGCTGGTCAGAAGTATCTGGGGCTATTATTTATAATAATGGGAGGTATTATTGCTCAGTTATAATTATTGCATAATATAACAAAGATAGTTAGTATTTAGTTTAAGAGCTAACGCAAATATGATATTAGTACTTTCATAGAATTTGAATATAATTAGGAGTAGAGCTTTCAGGAAAATCCGAAGTTCCAATTTCTAGTCCCAATTTCAATTATTGATTCTACAGCTATGGATTGAATCTAGTTATATCTAATTTTATATAAAATTTTTGATCAGCTTTAAATTTTGTGTATTATGTATAATGCAGCTGTATTTTTATGTGTATCTTAAAATTTCCCATTCATTTTCTTTTCAGGTTATGGCTTTAAATAGAGGAGAAAAACAAAAAGTATTAAAAATAAAAATTGAAATTCCAAAATATTTAGCTTCGAAAATAACAGATTTTATTTGGAAATGCTTTTTTGACAGAAAATACTGGGATGTGGAGACCAATGGCTTTTTAAAAAATTGCATTGACGATGCATATGAACGTCTTATTGAACCTTATATCACTCGACAAATAAGGTATGAAAGTTTATAAATAGCTATTGTTTCAATGTTTTTTATTTTTGTTGTTGTGTTAACATATTAATTAAAAAAGCATGAATTTTGTGCGCAGATAAACATTCATTTTAAAAACTGAACTGAGTTGATTAATTGTTTAGTCCTGCCAGAAACCTTCTAGTTTGACTGTATATAGAAGGCACATCTGAAAAGTTACCCAGTTCTTTCTTCTTAGTTATAATTCTCTGTCTCTTCCTTACAATGTTATGGAATCTGTTCTTATGGAATGTTATTGAATCTATATTGTGTTATGTGGCAAAGATCTCTGTTGCATTATCTTTCTTGATCTAATGAAAAAGAATTACATTCATTCAAAACATGCTGTCTTTGTAAATGTCTGGTTATATATTTTGAAATGCTCTACGTTAGTGTTTCCCAAACTTATGACTTTTTTGTACCTTTTCTAAATTTTTCCTAACGCTGTGTACCACTAATAAAAAATGAAGGTATTTTTTACTATAAAAAATTGCACAAAAGTTCAAATCACAACTGGCTGTTGACACCAATAATTATTAACTGTTAACTTTTCAAAAAATAACCAATAGAAAAATATGTAATCGTAAATTTTCATGGCTAGCTTTGTTTTTAAATAAAATTTTTGAAATTTTCGTTTGTTGAAAGATATTTTGCATAAGAACGTGTACCCCCGCTAAACTGTTCCTGTACCCCTTGGGGTATGCATACCACACTTTGGGAAACACTGCTCTATGTTATTGGAATATTATAAATATTTTCTTTTTTTACTTTTCATGTATACACTTTAGTAGAATATAAAATGAACCTATAAACTGTTAATTGTTTTTGACTTTTTTAAAAAAAAGGTTTTTTATACAGTAACTACTGATCATCTGAGCTTTACTTTTTTTTTGTAATGATAAACAACAGAGCGTTTAGAACTGAAAATAAGTAAATTAATAGAGATGGAACTATTTTAAGAACAACATACTATCTAGTTTATAGCCCGGGTGCTCAGTTAATCAAGTTATGGGTCTACATTTAAGCATTGCAACTTCAAGTGCAATACGGAAAATTAAGTAAAAACCAGCATTGAAAGGATGAAAATGGTGAAGCATTCATAAGGAGCAAGACAATGTGATTCATGATTTACAGCTGTCAAACTGCTAATGCAGGAGGAAGTTCAAATTTCTATAAATAGATTTGGCACCCATCAAGCAGTTTCTTCTGCTTGAATTGGGGATAATTCACATTAGGAAATTATCCCCAATAATAGATATTTAAATGTATCGTTTATATTAAAAAATTGATGATGTGTAAAGCGTTTTGTGGATTGTCCGCAAATTGGCTTACCTGTGCTTTGTGGACCACTCAATTCCATGGATAATCAGGAGTTTACTGAAATTAATTACATCTTATGCACTGCATTTGTTTCAGAGGTGAACTAACGAAAAAGGCTGAGAGGGAATCTATATCTGTTTTTGGATCTAATGTCAGAAGCTTGCTTCTAACTCCTCCTGTTCGAGGCAAAACTGTGATTGGTATTGACCCTGGCTTCAGTCACGGCTGTAAAATTGGTGTTGTTTCTTCCAAAGGTATGAATACCCAGTTCATTATTATTTATATTTGAATACTTCATTAAGTCTGTTTTTCTCTGGTGTTAGATGCACAGGAAAAATCTGTGTATATATATTTTATAAGAAATTTGTATTCTACTATAATAATGAGTTAATCCGTTCTTTAGCGCAGCAGACATCTTTTTAGCTATGGAGCTCAAAATGATAAAGCTTCTTTCGGTCAAACCCAGACTTAAAGAAATATGAGTGAACAGTTGTGATTTAGCTATCCAAACTAGCTGTTTTAGAAATATTTTTTGTGATGATTTAAATAGTTCCATCCTTTTATCAATTTGAATTCATTTTTGCTGTATACATATGCTGAAAATGAATAAATTAATGTGTTGCATTCTTTTTTTTTTCAAAAGAAGAACTATTATAAACAATAACAGCTATGTTATGAATGGTTATTTTATTTTGATTTGTAAATTTCGATAAGGTATACTTTTAGAATTTTTTTATAAATGCATATCATTTACATAATTTATTTCTCATATTGTTTTAAAAAAAAAAATTTCTATTTTTTTTTATTTTACTTTGAAAATTTCTTATAAATAACGACATTATTAAATAAATTATGTATTGGATATTATTGCCATTATCACCCATTAAAAAAGTCCTAATCATCAAAACCCCTGCTATTCTTCCACAGAACCTCGGGGCTACACAGAATATCTTTAAGAACCGTTACTCTAGATTACCAGACATCAACTTTAAACTTATATCTTAAACAATATTAGTAAAATCAGTAGATTTTTTATTTATTTGACAACCTAAATTCTTATTCAAGGGTGATTGTATTCTGGGGCTTTGCCGGAGTTCCGAGTTTTTTGAAGTATCTTTAACTCCGTCAAAAAATTAGGAGTAAGCATAGGATTTTTCTAAGAATATCGCGGAATTCTGCGTTTCTCAAGACCATTGGTTCTCTGACTTTCACTAATCAAAAACTTATAATCTGACGAAATTTTCTCAGAATTCCTCAGTCTAAAATTCAAATTTTGAGACTTTCGTTAATTTCCGCTAACGACGCAATTACATATATTTGATTCTTCCACCAATTGATTATTTGGATTTGTCAGATTTTCGACGTTTTGAATAGTTAAAACAATGCCAGAATCCGCTAATATCACTATTCCTATTCATGCGGTTTAAATATCAAGCAGTGATTTTATTAATTACTATCTAATTTAAAAGTTACATGTTAAGATTCATATTCACGTGGTTTAAAAATCCAACATCGCAATACATATTCACATGATTTTAAAAATACAACATTAGGATTCTTGTAAGAACTAAGATTTTTCTTAAGCTAGTTACTATAAAGGTGGGATATTCATCATTGGTAGGTAATTTAATTATAAATATTATTTTAAAAAAATTATATTAAATATTAAACATGTATGGTATATAAAATTTTCAGGGTTTTTCACTTAGTGTCACAATTACCCTACCTTTTTTTTACATTATTGTTTTTTATTCTCTGATTGGCAATAGCATGAAGTTGAAAATTTAATTCTTTTCTTTTTATAAAAAATCATACATTTATTTTTGAAAAGAAACATTAATTTAATATACATGTTAGGTGGGCTTCAAATTCTACCACTCCATCACCATGCCTTTACTGATAGAAGCATAAAACTTGGTACACATATGGAGCTTTAATTTTGTATGGAAGGCCATCTCAGATCCAGCCTATTACAATTATAGCAGCATGTGTTTAAAATAGCGTATTCGTTAAAAAAAATTAAGTGCTTTTTTCATTGTTTTTTAAAGATTTTAAATTATATTTATTGAGTCCCAATGGCTCAGGGGATTGAGAGTACGCCTTCCAATGAAGTGAACTGGGTTCAATTCCCAGCGATGGCTGGTCTATATGAATTCCACATTGACATGAAATATCCTCGGTGGTAGACGGATCATGGTAGACAGTAGAGCTAGAGGCCTTTATGCCACCAGGCTAGCCGTGATAGGTTCTCTATGTCTCTCTTCCTCTCCATGTAAAGCAAAGTTCATTCAACATTGTTTTGTTTTTATATTAAGTTATTTATTTATAAATTTATTTTCTTATATATTTATGTATTTTGAATATTTATGTATTATGTACTCAGGTATTTTTATTTATTATTGGTATATTTATGTATTAAAAAAATACCTTATTTTACTCAACTTGTGTGTTTTGTTTTGTTATAACTAACTTAAACATTTTTACTGCTTTGTTTTATTTTATTTTTGTTTTGTAGTCTAAAAATTATAAATTTTTTTTTAAAAATTTTGTCTCATTAAAGAAAGTTTTATTCAATATTTCTTCTATTTTATATTTTTCATTATTTTGAATTTTGTGGCTAATGTCACCTTTTTTTTTACAATTTAGTTTTTAAGCTATTTTAATTTTCAATATTTTTTGAGTTCATAAATTGTTAATAAAAAAAAAGTTTTAAGTTCTTATTTAAATTCATATGGGAAAAGTTAGACAGAATATGATACATGAAATTGAAACCTTTATTGAAATTTGCAAAGATTCCTTGATTTATATTTTTGTTTTTGACATATTTAAATTTATGATGACTTTCTATGATGCCTTATAATAAATAAAAGACTAAATATGTTATAAGGCAAAACTGTTATTGACTAATTACATCTTGCCTATTCATGATTATTATCTGAAGTTTATTTCAAATGTCTTTTTTTTTTTCTTCAAGAATTGTACCTATATATAGGATCAAATTAGCCATGGAAACTTGGTTATGAAAAATAAGGTATTAAACTGTTTCTCCCTTTAAATGACAAAAAAATTTTAAAAAAGTAAACATGTTATTTTACCTGAAAATGAAAATGATCAATTCAATCTAAATTTGCTTCAAAAATTATAAGTTATATACCTTTATATATTTTTAGTATATACAATATATACTTTTAATTATATACTTTAATATGTAATTTTAATTATATAGTTTTAAATAATATGCTTCTCTTTTAATATTGTATGGATAAATCCTAAATACAGGAACATCATAAATGAATATCCAAGGTTTTATTATCATATGCACCATTATTTGTTTATGCATTTTAATAAACATTTTTCGAAGTACCTTTTGATGATTATTGCTTTTATTTAAACTANGCTTTGTGGGCCACTCAATTCCATGGATAATCAGGAGTTTACTGAAATTAATTACATCTTATGCACTGCATTTGTTTCAGAGGTGAACTAACGAAAAAGGCTGAGAGGGAATCTATATCTGTTTTTGGATCTAATGTCAGAAGCTTGCTTCTAACTCCTCCTGTTCGAGGCAAAACTGTGATTGGTATTGACCCTGGCTTCACTCATGGCTGTAAAATTGGTGTTGTTTCTTCCAAAGGTATGAATATCCAGCTCATTATTAATTATATTTGAATACTTCATTAAGTCTGTTTTTCTCTGATGTTAGATGCACAGGAAAAATCTGTATCTATATTTTTTTAAGAAATAAGTATTCTGCATTCTACTATTGTAATCTATGAGTTAATCCCTTCACATCAGGTTTCTAGCGCAACAGCTTTTTCAGCTATGGAGCTCTACATGATCATGAATTTTTGCTGTATACATGTGCTGAAAATGAATAAATTAATAGGCTAAATTATGGTTTTCAAAAAAAGAACTATTATAAACAATAACAGTTATGTTATGACTGGTTATTTCATTTTGATTTGAAATGTTCAATAAAGTATACTTTCAGAATGTTTTTATAAATGCATATCCTTTACATAATTTATTTCATATATTGTTTTTGAAAAAAAAGGTTAAAAAAAAGGTTATTACTGGTTAAAAAAATCCTTACTATCGAAACCCCTGCTATTCTTCCACAGAACCCTGGGACTACACAAAATACCTTTAAAAAACCGCTACTCCAGCTTACCGGCATCAACTTTAAACTTATATCTTAAACAATCGTCGCCAAATCAGTCACTTTGGTTCCTCACTTCATTGGAGAAGGCTGTCCTAAGCTTATTAGCATGAGTACAATGAGTCACAGACAAAGTTCCTCTACCACATGTTCCGAGTTCCATGGGGGCAAGTCCCCCGGGTTGTCGGGCTTCCCGGTTTTGGAACTTAATGTTCCAGAGTCTGACATTTCACTCCAGCCCTTATCAGGGCTCTCAGTAAGGAAGTATGTAGACGTTACCACAATGGCGCTGGGACCGGAACTAGGATAAAATTAGCCACAGAAACTTTGTTATTAAAAATAAGAAATTAAACTGTTTCTCACTTTGAATAACAAAGAATTGAGGAAAAAAAAGTTAGTGTTATTTTACCTCAAAATGAAAATGAACTATTGAATCTAAATTTGCTTCTAAAATTATAAATTATACAATATACTTTTATTTCAATACCGCATGAAAAAATCCTGAATCATGGAACATCATAAAAAATTTATTGACCGAAGTTTTAATATGAAATGCACCATTAGTTGTTTATGCATTTTAATCAGCATTTTTCTCAGTACCTTTTGATGATACTTACTTTTAATCAAAGGAGTACAAGTAGTTGTGAATCGTATAGATGTACTGTATTCATAGAAAATTTAAAACTTATCATTTACTTTTTATGTTTTTGCTTAGGTGAGGTGTTATGTACTGACGTAATCTATCCACATACCAAGAGTAAGATGACAAAATTTCCTGACCCAAATGGTGAAAAAATTTTAGGCTTAATTTCTAACTATAGGTACGTTTAAATTAGTTTTAAAACTATATAGATTAAATAAGATGAGAAAGAAAATGCTATTCTTCATTCTATGCATATAAATTGCTTTTAAAATTTACTAAACAAAAATTGAATATTTTCTTTTGCCTTTTTTATTAAATAATTCTTTGGTTTCTTACTGTACAACAAAAAAGCAATAATGTTCATATTTGTAGTTACAATTACAATTACTCTAAACCATTGCACCCCATGAATTGTTAATGTGAGTTATTGTGATTATTGTGTCAATTGATAGCTTATGCCTTATTTTTACTTATTTTATTCGCTTGTATCGATTTTTAAATGTAAATTAACCATTCATATCTTTTGAATGACTGCAAACATTAGGGATTTTCATAATAATTTTATGAGTATAAATTTGTGTACTTGTAAATTTGTGTTTAAGTTTTTAGTACTTCTTTATTTCTCTATAATTTAGAATTATGATTTGATTATTATTTGTCATCTTGGTTTCTTAGTGATTTTCTTCAGTCCTCTTAAATGATATTTCCGACTTGGTACTCATGGCATGATTGTAAAAAATTTTTATGTCATAAATATTGTGGCTTATAGAATATTGTGTTATATAGACCATTTAGGGGTGAACCCTGGAATTCTGGACTTCATTGGTTTTAAAAAACTAGAACTGGGGCCTGTGATTTTCTCACGAATCTTCGTAGTATTCAGCGTATGTCAAAGCCATTGGTTTGCATACTTCTGTGAATTAAAATTTTATTATTCAACAAAATTTTAAAACTTGCCCTACACCCTGTTATTAAAACATTTACATAAATGTGATTCTTCGACCAATTTGATTTGGATTTTTGCGGTTGCACCGGAATCTGCTAACATCTCGATTCTTATTCACTCGATTTTAATATCAAACTTAGATTTTCATATTTACCTGATTTAAAAGTTAGGCGTTGTGATTCGTATTCACGCGTTTTAAAAATCATTCATCGCGATTGTTATTTCGGGAATTAAAAATCCAATATTGCAATTTGAATTTGCACGTTTTTAAAATCTAATGTCGTGATTCGTATTCACATGGCTTTAATATCAAGCATCGATTTTCGTGTTTATGCGCGATTTAAAAAGCTATTCATGATTCGTATTTACGTGATTTAAAATTTCGATATCTCAATTTGTATTTTCGCGTTTTTATTATCCAATACTGTGATCCATATTCACGTGATTTTTTAATCCAATATTGCTATTCATATTCACGCAATTTTAAAATACAATAGCGTGTTTCTTGTAAAAAGTTTATTCTTGAATTAGTTACTATAAATGTGTGATGTTCTTCATTAGTAGGTAAGGTAATTGTAAATGCTAGTTCAAAAAATTATGTTAAATATGAAACATGACTGGTATATAAATTGATATGTTGGTATCAATTTTTTGATATCAAGGCAATATTAGTCCGATAATATTTGTTCGTGGCAGTATTGGTCTGGAACTAATCAATCTAAAATGCTTTCAAATAATTTATTGTTAAAAATACTTAAAAAGCACAAAAATAAGCACCTAAGTTTTTCTTATTTACAGAAAAAGACATCAAACTAATAACACTTACATTTAGCAATTTTGGTTTGCTTAGCTATTGAAATTGTGAACTATTTGCAAATAATTAAACAAATTATTTCAAAAATTTATAGCTCTTAGTTACAACAATTTCTTAACTTTAATTTTCATTGTTTACACTTACAAAGTCTATGTGGTTTACTGAGAATTTCAGTTTATAGAATTGTGTTACATAAATCTTCTGCTATAATCCAGTTACATTTCACAGCATTCCCATAAGCACCCACAGCATTCCATTTCCCATAACTTTGGAAAATACTTGAATTTGATTTCAACTTTTGAGAACACTTAAAATCAGAAGAACTTGCCTTGAACCTTTAAAAACCATTTTTTTTTTTAATTAAAGCAAACATTTTACTATTGTTAATTTTTAAACTTCTGTATACAGTGTTTTGAATATAATTCTTCATTGAACATGTATCATATGTTAATTATTTCCAAACTTTTTTCTAATTGAGTCAGCAATTGTTAGTTTACAGACGCAAAACTTATGTTGTTGTTGTTTTTTTTTTCAGTATATTTGTTCATTTCTAATTTAAATATTTTAAAATGATATCTCCAAAATCTCCAAAATGATATCTCCAAAATATCCCCAAAATCTTTGAATTTGTGTATTTTTTTGGTGGAAGTTATGATTAGTTTAGCATCTTTCATTCGTTTTAAAAATTTTTCAACTCAAATAAATACAAATTTTTTAAATGAGTCATGAACAAAACAATTTTTGCACAAATTTCTTTACTTTGTAATACACTTTATATTGTCACATTTTTTTTAAATATTTAAACTCTTCTTTCATTACTGGATTAACATAAAAAAATTATTACCCTCATATAACTTAAAACAATGTTAGCAAATCAATCATATTTTACTTTTATCTATAAATAACCTATATACTATCTATAAACTATTTCTTCTGTTGCAAAATTGAACTATTGATTATCTCTTTTTTAAATTTTGGAATGAGTGATGATAATATTATTTTCTATCGATAAGAATTGTTGACTGGTGTGAAAAAAACGTTTTAAATGTATTAGAAATTTTATCTAAATGATCTTTTTTCTTCAAGGGCTGAAATTCTCGCTATAGGAAATGGAACAGCCTGCAGGGAAACTGAAGTCTGGTTGTCAAATCTAATAAAAGCAGGTTTTTTCCACCCATTTGAAGTTAAATACTGGTTTGTTAGTTTTATTCACTTAATTATTTGCATTTAAAAGTTTGAATTTCAAATTATGTTTGTCCTGCAGTGGACTGATCGTAAAGACATGGTTCCTAGTAGAACATTGAAGTCAAGCGTCTCTGGCTGCTGTCAGTAAGTGGGTGGGTGACCACTTTGATAAGCCTGCGTAGGGGCCGAGGGTGCATGGTTTCCACCCTCGTTAAACTGCTCTATCGTGAAGTGCCCTACTTTGCGCACAGGTGGTTGGGCCACCAAAGCCATTCCCTCTGTAGCGAGTCCAAATTTTTTGACCAGGTCTTTGGATCATCCTCAAGGATGCTTCATAGACCTTCTCCAATGGCCCATTGTGCAACTCTAGTGGGATGTAAATAAAATACCTACCTATCAAATTATGTTTGTGTTTAAAAAGAGTTATTTCTATGTTAAAACCATGAAGTTCAGGTTTCTAGATGGAAGTCAAACATAATATTAATTTTCTTTCTAAACTGATTTTTTGAAATGTTTCAAAATACAGTAAAGCCTCAATTGATGATTTCTCAAGGAATCATTGATTGTGAATGATACATAAGGGAAAACGACAAATGTGGGTCAATATAAATTATCAAATAACGATTTGAAAATGTATGCAAGCATTGTAATTGAAAAAAAATTATGTACTTAATAGACCTGAAAATAACCACTTGCCACCCGCCAATCTGCAAAACGTTAAGCTTCAAATCAAGCAAGAAATTTATATTCGCCAAGCTACTTTTAAAAATAAGCAGGTTTCTGGTTGGTAAGAAAATTTTTATACATCTGCCAGAGTTTCATCGTTCTGAATGCTGATTGGACATGACTATTTACAATGAATTTCATATCATCTCGAACTTGTTGACTCTCTTCACTGTTTCTTTTTTAAGATGTTAGAAGAGTGCTGACATGAATGGTAGGCATCTCATAAGTTGTCTTACTCTATAGATTGTTTGTACTTAATCTTACTCTAAGGCCCTCTGCATCCCGAAAGTTATTTCTTATCTTTATTGCACTGCATAATTTATTATACTCAAAATTGTGAATGCTGAAGACTACTTGACAATACTTGATCCGAGAGTTTCCTTGTCTTCTGGATTGGGTTCAAAATTACAAGGCTATGTAGTTGAACATTAGTAGTCGACTGTTCAACAACGGTTATAATAATTATTATAATATTGTATTAAGATGACAGATTCATCAGTGGTGATTACTTAGTACTGTAAAATTTTTTTTAAAATATTGATGTATATGTTTTTTTTTTCCCTTCCAGCATTGTCAATGAAAATGGAGTGTCCATTTACAGTGTGACTAAAGAGGCTGAAGCAGAACTACCTGGAATGGATCCAAATCTAAGAAGTGCAGGTATTGTACTTGTTTCAACTATTTCTTTGATTGTTATAAAAATAACTGGATAAAAATAATCGTCAAAAACTATATGTTTTTTTTCCTATCAATTTTTATTAGTTATGCTCTTAGATTCTTCTAAAACTAAATTACAAATTATAAGAGATCTTGGAACATTGTTTGGAGTATTCTTCTTTTTTTTTTTCTTTTTTTTNTAAGGAAACACAGGGACCACAAAATTTTTTTTTTTTTTTTTTTTTTAAGTGTGAAATTTAACATTTTATGTATGTTGCTTGGCTTGGTAAAACCTGTAATTCTGGTGTATTTGAGTCATGATGGCTCTGCTGTTAATGCACTTAAGTGTCTAAGGTACAAGGTGAAGAATCAGGGTTCAATCCCCAATGGCAGCTTGAAGCCCACCCAGCTTCAGGTACAATCTTGCCTGGGAAGCAAAAGTAGCCTGTGTGCAATACTGACCACATTGCCTCTATCATGCAGTTGATCGTGCAATCGTGGAGCCTTAACCTCCCTAACCCCCGTGGCTCAAAAATGCTTTATTTTACTTAACTGGTTCACTTATAGGATCAAGGTTAGGTAAGCAAAGGGTTAATGAAAAAGAAAGTTTAATTTCAAATAGAAAATTAATGAAAATTTATAATATTAAAAAACTCATTTTTACCATGTATATAGACTGTTGTAATTAATTAGCATTTTTAAGGTTTACCATTCTAACAATTAAAATGTTTTGCTTTAAAATGAAAATTTCATTAGATTAAAATTATTTAAGTATTTGAGTTTTTTTTTCTTCCTATTTTGTAACATATATCCACAAACTATTGCACATTTATTAAAGTAGTAATGCATCCAACTTAATTTGAAAAATCACTTATAATAAATAAAAAAAATAATTGTAAATTATTAAAATGTTTGTAATTTCATTTAAAAATTCGATTTTTAATGTGAAGAATTATATTATTTCATAAACTGACACAAACGAACAATTATGAGAAAGATAATAAGCAAGGAAGGAAAAATATTACTTTCGTAAAATTTGATAATATAAAATTTAACTTCTTTGAAATAAGATGGCTGATTCTCCTTGGATGATAGGCTAAGGATGAGAAAAAATCTTTTTAACTCCATTTTTACGTAATATTGGAATTGTCTTCTCGTTTTCAGAGTTTCAATATTGATTTCTCTGAGCATTTTTTCATGTAAAATCATTATTTACTAGCTAAAGTTAGCATTTGTATTTCAGTTTCTATAGCACGAAGACTTCAAGATCCTCTATTAGAGTATGTAAAAGTAGAACCCAAGCACTTAGGAGTTGGAATGTATCAGGTATACTGTAGAATACTTACTTGTACTTAAATTGTATCAGAATAAACCCTTTCTGGAACAGTAAGTTTCATTTGAAAAATTTAGGCCAATACATTAACAACTGCGATCTTGGATTCTCAATTATTTAAAGGATAGTGATTATTAAAAGAAGGTCAATTTTAGAAGTAAATAATTTTACATTTCTGTAATATTTTTGGAATAAGTGTAACCAGACTAGACCAGAAAGGGTTGTGGATAAATTCCAGACTCTTGACCATTAGAGTAGCTATAATTCAACGAAACCACTAATATTGTTTAGATATCATTATACTTTATACATGCTTTATTTCTTAATGTTGCTTGAACATTAGAATGTTTAAAACCACTAAAAATATTATGTCAATCACATAAAAACATCACATACACATGCAACAGTGTCAATCTTCACAAAAAATAAGCTAAATATCTATTATTCCTTAAAAAAAATTTTAAATTGAATATGTTAATTATTGAGATTATTTTATATGTATTCCTTACTAATAGTTGACTGTATTTTTAGCATGACGTTGCAGAATCTCAACTAAAAAAGGCCTTAGATAGCATAGTAGAAGAATGTGTGAGTTTTGTGGGAGTTGATTTAAATGTATGTCCAGAAACTATGCTTAGGTAATATACATAATAGTTTGTTTTTTTCTTTAATGTAAAGTTAAATGTTTCTTAACCATGATATAAACTAATTATGATCTGATTTATGATAATTTGTAAAACCTCCTAAATTTCTCTACTAAATTATTAAATATATTCATCTCTCATTTATATTATTCACTTTGTAGTGTGGAATCTGCTTATTTTTTCTCCTTCATGCGCAGACATTGGGCACAAAATTGCTGAGTTATAATATAAACTAATTATAATCTTATTTATGATAATTTGTGATAAAATGATATAAATGGTGATAATTTGTGATTGTGATAATTTGTAATGATAATATTTCGTGATTGTGATAATATGTGATGATAATAATTTGCGATTGTGATTTATGCTAAAAGTTCTTAAATTTATCTACTAAATAATTAAAAATATTCATCTTGCATAAATATAATTCACTTTGTAGCTTAAAATTACCTTCTTTTTTTCTCTCCATGTGTATGCATTTTTCTTTCAAAGTTATTTTAGTTTGCGCTGTCATCTGATACTATTTTTGTATGTTATAGGAAAATTTCTGGTCTGTCTGCCAGTAGAGCAAAGCAAATAGTTGAATGGCGAACTCTAAATGGTTGTTTCATGAATAGGCAGCAATTGTTGCTCGTTAAAGGCCTGGGACAAAAATCATTTGAACAGTGTGCAGGATTTGTTAAAATTTTACCAGAGACTAGCTCTTGTGCAAAGTATACCTTTTTCTGTTTATGAATGTTTTTCTCTTTTTTTAAAGAATCTTATTACGCTGGAACCCCAATTTTGTGTTTTCCATCAGACTAGCATTAAAGAAGAGCTCGAAACGGGAAACCGTAAAATTGGGGTAAAAAGATATAAGAATATTTTCCAAAAATTTACCAGAGATGAACTACTTGAAAAAATGTGTAATCTTTACTTTTATTTTGTTTTTAAATACAATTTCCGTCTCAATACTTACTATTGTTTGCTTTTTGGTATACGTTTGCAAATAAATATTGTTCAAGAGTTTTGTATGCTTTTGAAATTCTTGATTAGTTTTGGGTATATCTTGTGATATTTTTTACTCGTTTTCATCACCATCATCGGAAGCAGGTGTTGAATCAGATATTAAACGAATTGAAAAGTAATGGGGATGTGTGATGAAGTCGAAATGCATCATCGACTTCAAAAGATCTTCAGTCACTCCAATTCTATCCTAAAAGGCCAATGTTTTTGAATACCGAGAAAATGGCTTTATTAAGCCCATTTTAAATGCATTTTTGTTGATACTGTCTATCTCTGTAAAAATCCGATTCAGTGCTTCCAAAACATTTATCAGTGCTTTAGAAGCATCTTACAGTTTACCAGTATCAAGAAACTGTTTAATTTTCTTGATTCCGGAAGTTGTTTAGTGTAATTTTTTTTAAATTCTGGAATTATTCCCAGATTCAAAGGTTGAAGTTAGCTGAAAAAAATTCTTCTCACAAATTTTACAAGTTAAGCTCCTATACTTCCTTTAACCACCCTTCCTGTGCCTTTTCCATCCCACCGCCTTTCTGATTTTGACTCAAGGAATAATCTCTTCTCACAGACAAAATAGAATAGAAAGAATAGAGCAGCTCCAAACAAGTCTCTCTTTGTTTTTAAAAGAAAGAACAAACTCGAAAATGTTTGTGCCAGCTTTGTAGGAAAAAAATTATTTAAATCTGTTACAAAAACATATGAAGCGGGATTTTCTTGAATAAAGTAACATCCGGGATAATTTAATATTAACAGTATAAGCAATTCTTACTGACCAGCAAAAAATGGTAGCAGGATAACGTTTGAAATGGAAAATGTTAAACTCTGGTTCCACTATAAATAGAAATCCATGTTTCTGTATATACAATGTGTAAAAAAAATCTAGCTGAATAACTTTTGATCTAGTGATCAGATTTTCATGTACTAGGACTCAATCTTAATGATATGAGAGGGTGACCTTACATATCCTAATTAATTAGTGCAGACTAAATTTTAAATTATGAAATTAGGCACTCAATGGTACTGTCTCTGAATAAACATAACTTTTCTGTTGGATTTAAAATTCTGACCCTAAGATAAAATATTAATAATTTTCTAAATGAAAGGGTAGCTGCAATCTGGAAAATATCCATCAGTTTGGTCAGGAGAGTGGTACGAACCTTGGACCTTTAAATATTAACTTTACTTCTCTGGTGTATTTCACCATGTCTCGAGAATTTTTTAAGCAAATCAAAAAACTTTTTGCTCACTTTTACAAAATTTATTTATCCAAAGATATTTTTCTGCAAAAAATAATTTTCACTAGGCATTTATTATTTTATAATTTTTTTTATTTACAAATAGTCGAAAATTTTTTAAATTGTGTGGTATACAAATGTATACATTATGTTAAAGAGTGTAAAAGAATAAAACAAAGTTTGAATGAAATTGGTCTACTAGCTCATGAGAAATTAAATTTTAAAATGTCATACATCTAAAATTTGGTTTCTCAGGAACTATTCAACCAATTCCATTCAAAATTTGTATTTTACCTTGTAAATTTATCTCTTTCAACATGATGTAAAAGTTGTGGCCATCCCCTCTAATCATTAAGATTTTGTCCTAGTGCATAAAATCTTGATTATTGGATCAAAAGTTGATCAGGGAGATTATTAAAAAACAGATATTTCTTTTAGTCATTTGTAAATAAGAACTAAAATGTCATAGGATTGAAAGTCATAATCATGAACACTTAAATATACATGATTACTTATTAATGAATGAAACTTCGTATATCATATGGGTTTTAAAAATCTGAAACAGACTGAGCTCTGATTTGGGAAGAAATGAAAGATTAAAAGAAAACAAACTTTGTTAACAAATTGTTCTATAAGTTAGTTTCAAATATGCTCATTAATTTAATGTTGGTTGATTAATAATTAAGAGTCATATTTTAGTTTTAATTATGTTTCATAATTAATGCAAGTGAGATGCACTTTACCTTACGTCGGCCACCTATGCTTTTTTTTCCCTTCCATTTTCTTACTTTTTCCTTTTGTTCTTTTGCATTTTACAAGTTTATATTAGTATAAAGGGCTTGAAATTGTTGTGTTCTGAAATTTAAAATTGTGAACTTAAATTTAAATTAACTGAAATTATGTCATAAGGAATATTCTTTCTTAAACTTTTTTTTTACATTTATTACCAATTCTGATTACTACTATATTTTCTTTGTCACAAAGAATTTAAAAATTTGAATAATGTCTTGAATACCATCTTCATATGTTGTGCTCAAATACCAAATGGTTTTTAACTATCCAGCATCAAAATTTTGAACTCTAGATGACTTAAAGTTTTTGAAAGACAGGATAGTTCAAACATTAATTAAAATTGAAAAATTTTTAAAAATTATTTGTTTGGGTTAGGTTTTCTGAAAAATACAATATTTACTTTTAAACCTTTTAGTAATAATGAATATTTTCTTAGAGTTGCTGGAGCTGAGAAGAAAGTAGCCAAAACTAAGAAAGATGTTTCAAATGCTCCCAATCCATTAGACAGAACAATCATTCACCCTGAATCATATAATGCAGCTGACAAGTATTGGAGTTTCTTTATTATAAAATACTTAAATTACGTGTAATGTTTTATTTTTATGCTTATAATAATGTGTTGAAAATATGAACTGTATTGTTTTCTTTTTAAAATATAAATTAATTTAACCATTTATGCAAAACATTTTATTTCTATCTAAATTAAATTTAAGCTCTTTTTCACAATTGAAATTATTGTTCAGAATTTTTTATTTTCATTAAAAATTATGTATATTTATTTTTATATTTATTTTATTTGGTTTGTTTGAAGTTATTTTTCATACTTTTTTTATGTTTTAAAACTGATTAGGATTTAAAAAAATTTAACTTTATTATTTAAATATGCTTTTTTTTATTGACTGCCGTTTCCTAATTTATTTTTTTAAATTTTAATTTTTTTAAAACAAATGCTACTTTTTATGTTTGTATTTGAAAGTGAAAATTTAATCCTACACTTTAGTAATAATAATTATAAATAGCAACTTTAGAAAGTAAATTGAATTTCATTTTATGCTACTCCTTCCTTTAAAAATTACAAAAAATTTAACTAATGATAACTTTTTTTTCTTTTTAAATATAATTAGACTTTTATTATCACTACTTTCCTAATGTCTAAGCTAATTAGTGTTTTGGATAGTTATTATCTATAATGGATTATTTATACTGTGTGTTACTCCTTTGTATTTAGATTTTTGCAAGACTTAGGAGCAGATCCTTGCTCAATAGGACAGCAATCTTTAATTGATAAAGTGAATTCTTACATGAGATTTGCAAGTGAGTATAAATTTAGGGTCACAAACTAACTATATTGGTTTATAATTAAGTAATGTAATATGTTATGATTTGTTGTAGTTCTAGTTATTTACGTCACATTAGAGCTGCACAATGGGCTATTGGCAATGGTCTGGGAAACATTCGTGATGATGATCCGAAGACATGCCATCACAATTTTGATCCTCTGCAGAGGGGATGGCACCCCCGCTTTGGTAGCCCGACGACCTGCACGCGAAGTCGAGCACTTTACGGTAGAATAGTTTAACGAGGACCAATAACGCACACCCTCGGTCCCTATGCAGACTGATCCAAGTGGTCACCCACCCGCACGCTGACCGCAGCCAGTAATGCTTGACTTCGGTGATCTGCTGGGAACCGTGTCTTAACAATCAGTCCACTGCGGGACTTATGATTTCTACAAATTTTACTTTCAACCATAAAATTATAAGAAACTTTCATTCTGGAAAAAATCTGACCCCTAAAGAGCTTTTTAGCAATTTTTAGAAAAGCCCTCATGAACTTATTAATTTGCTCTGCTATTAAGCAGATGGCAAATATTCTGCTAGGATAACTAACCAAATGCTTTATTGATTATCGTTTAAATAGCAAAGAACAGAAGTTACACATCGCTGGCTGCAGTCAGTGAGCAGATGGGTGACCACTTAGATTAGCCTGCAAAGAGACCAAGGAAATGCAGTATTGGTCCTTATTAAAATGTGTTCGATTATCAGGCTACCAAAGTGGGAAAGCCTTCCCATTCACAAAAGATCAAAACTGTGATGGCATGTCTTTGGATCATCCTCAGGGATGTTTCTCAGACCATCTCCAATAGCCCAATGTGCAGCTCTAGTGCAACGGTAAAGTGCAACTAAGTGACATGAATTTTAAACATGCTGATCAATGATAGAACCAAAGAAATGTGCAAAAAAATTAAATTCCATATATTTTACTAATTATTATATTTAAAAATTTTAAATGGTGAGAAAAAAATAATAATTTTAGTTTTAATATTTTTAGAGGTAGCAATAATTCTAGATAACAAATAATTAAACCTTATATAATTTATTTGTTAGTCACAATATAATCTGCATTTTAAAAAGGCTGTAATTTACAACTATAACCTCTCTTTTGAAATTATCTATTTTTAATGTCACTCTTCAAAAATTATTGGAGTATTGAAGTTACTATCTGAAAAATTATATTTTGGATAACACTGCCAAGAAATGTAAAAAGATATATATATATATACAAATTTTTTTTTTTTTTTTTTTTTTTTTTNTGTTAATCATATTTTCTATCAAACAAGCAGGGAATTCAGATTTTTTTAATGAACAAATCTAAGTTCATGATGCCAAAATTCGACTGTATTACCCAATTCCTAGTTTAATTATATTTTACTCTGTTATGATATGAAACACTCATGTATACTTATAAGAAGTGAAAAAAAATTTGCCTTACGAATTTGTTCTAATGTAAAAATGATAAGATATAACAAACAGCCAATGTCTGCCTATTTTTATCTTGTTTTTCAGAGATATATTAAAATGTTGTATAAGCTTATTTAAAAACATTTTAGCTATTTTTTTTTACTTTATTATAATTATATTTTTGTTCAGACTTTTATGAGTCTAATGAATTTTCTTAATCATTATTTTTTAAGTTTACAGATTTAAATCAATGGTAATTAACAAAAACGTTTAAAAAAAAGTAGTGATTTATTTCACTGACTTTTATCTATTTTTTTTATTATTATTGCATAATATATGAAACACTATTAAAAAAGATATTTGAATGCATTTTAGGTATTGAGGATGTAGCTACAAAATATTCAGTCCCAGTGACTGTTATGCAGCTAATTGTTGATGCTTTGAAACAGCTTCAAGACTATGATATCAGAGCAGGCAAGTGATTTCTGGATTTTATCACTTTTTCCCTATGTTGATAATAATGTAATGAATATAATAATAATGCCCTTTTGTTATTTGTTTTATAGTGAAACTTAGTTTTACAGTTTTCTTAAAGATGTTTTTTATTTATTTTTTATTTTTTTGCAAAGCAGGGTTTATACTCTTCAGTAAAAAACTTGGAATTTAGGATAAAAAATATGAGGGAAAATAAAGAACTTTTTGCCAAATACCTGGGGAAAAAATGATGGTGTCACTATACAAGCTGTTCCTTAATATTCTTGTTTTTTATCCTTGTCAAAAAGCATGGCAAAAGAACTTAAAAGTNATTTCCGCTTTTTTCGTTCTAGTTTAAAATCGTTCTAGTTTAAAAATGGCGGGAAAATCGAGCAAAATTTCTCCCGGTTATCTGGATACCGGATAAATGGTTCTCTACTGTACCTGGGGGAAAAATGATGGTGTTACTATACAAGCTGTTCTTTAATATTCTTGTTTTTTATCCTTGTCAAAAAGCATGGCAAAAGAACTTAAAAGTCTGATTAAGAATTACAAATTAATATTGAAGCAGGGAAAAGGCAAAAATACTTTTAATATCACTACTTAGAAAGCTGTGACTGAAAACATTTTGGCCAATTTAATTGCCAAAGGAAGCAGAGAAGAGTTAAAAGGTGACAATTCGATGCACCTCCATGGAAAAAAAAGTTATTTTGATGTTTTTCATCCCGCCTTCCTTTATCAGCAAATTTGGAATTGTTTCTGATTCCTAATTAAACATTAATTTTCCACCCCAAATGTGTATGCTTTGTTAATTTCCTTTTTGACTGAAGATTTCTAAAATTATAGATTAAAGAAATCATTACAGAATAGCTTACACGAGTAATATATTTTTTATCAGATAAAAATCTGGTAAAAAAAAATCAAACTCAAATTTGGAAATTGCTAAAGCAGCATAAATCCAAAATTTTTCTTTAATTTAATAACAGAAAGGCTCCTACTTGAATGTATTGCATTTATATTTCTTTTGTTCTATTTCACTTTACTTTCCTAATTCAATGAAATTATCTTTCTGTAATATTTTAACAAATATATTTTTTATTTCACTTTCAGAATTTGATCAACCATTATTTCGTACTGCAATCAGAACATTTTCGGACCTTGCAACTAATCAAGAGCTTACTGGTCGAGTGACTAACGTGACGGGATTTGGAGCATTTGTTGATGTTGGAGTAGAACGTAATGGGTTAATTCATGTTAGTAAAATGAAAGGACAAAAACTAAATGTGGGTGATAGAGTTACAGTTAAAGTACTTGAAGTCAATGCTCAGAAAAAGAGAATTGGGCTGGAAATAAAACTGTGATATACTCTCTAAATATTTTATTAATTTTTTAAATGATACAGTGAGATTAATTATATATTAATAAATGCAGGCATTGTTTTAACTAGAGAATAATTAATAAGTTAAAATATTTAATCAAAAATTCTTTTCTTTTTAAATGCTACAATTCTCAAATAAAGAGTATTAATCTAATTGCATAATTAATTTTTTTAATGATATGATATGTTAATAATATCAAATATTATTAATATGGCATTATTTTGATTAAAGGATAATTCGTAAATTCTGTTCTTTTTAAACGATAAGTGTGATGACTAATTATGAATTAATACTTTCAAGTGTAGGCATTATTTTAATGTAAGAATAATTAGAAAATTAAAACTCTTCACCACATATTCCATTTGATTTAAATGTTATTGTTCTAAAATAAAAAATAAAAAACTATTTTAATACATTTTTAGTGCATTTATTTAATTCGAATTTTAAAAAATGAGCCTTATTCTTAAAAAAAAATGCTTATTAATGCTCTAATACTGAAAAAAAATTGTTTTGCTGAGCCTTATTATTATTTATGGCAAATATATTCAAAAGTTTTGAAAGTGTGAATATAAAAAGAGAATTGGGTTTGTTTAAAAATTCTTTAGAAGAATCCAAAATTTTTAAAAAGGGCCTTTGACGAAATTCTAAATTACTGAGAGGCATCTTTCATGAAGTTTTAAACTTCAAAAACCATTTTTTCACAAAACCCGTTTTTCTATAACGTATTATTAAAATCGAATTTTGTTAAAATTCTAATAACTAAAAATTTATTTTCATACACCAGAAAAACTAACAGACGAAAAATTTGAACTAATTTTTCTAACAGCTAATTGATCTAACAGCTTTCTAATTAATTGTAATATCTTAGCCAATTAATATCTTGCTATACAGTCTTAAATGAACATTATGAATATTGTATTCTTTTAAATGTATGACATATACATTTGAGAGAATGTTGTTTTTTAACAAATGTTTTTCTCAAATTTCCAAACTCTGGATGCTGGCAAGAAATCCTGGATTGACCTCTGAAGTATTGCTGCATTATAAAAAATATATTGTCTAAAATATATACTTCTAAAATATATATTTAAATTTTGCCATCTGTGTACTCTTTTAATAGTGCTGTCAAATCTATTGAAAGTAAAATATCGAAAGTATTTTATGTAAAACTTGTTTATTTCATATACTTTATGATTTGACACCTGGGCACAGAATATGTGTAAAGATATTTATGTTTTAAAAATAATATGAAAGTTGTATTAAATTTCTAAAAATATCCAACTTTTATTTAATTTTTACTTTTTTTAAATTATTTTGTGATTAATTATGTTTATTTTACTATCAACAAAAATTATAAGATAAAATTAGTGACATTTTGTGTGATGTTATTGTTACGCAATTGTTACGTCTTGAGTATCTGGCTTGTGACTATCCTACCTCCGTACTATCCGATCTAATAAAAAATGAGAAACAATAAAGTGGTGCTCTGCTACAAACCCCTTACTAATCAGCCTACCGTATGCAACACTGTGAAGTTTGACTTTTACTAGTTATAATTTATTAGATTTGTGTGATTTAATAATAATTAGTGGATATTTTTGCATTAATCATTTATCTTAAGTTGCGTAACATGTGTTGTTAATTATATAGGAGCGAGTGTTAAAATTGCTGCCTTTCCGCCACATTAAACCAGATAGTCAGGACCCTACCTTATTATTTTTTGCTGTTATAGTTTATTTTACACTTGTTTACTTATTGTATAAGTTTCATTATGTACTTATAGGAGTTTATCTGTTACAAAAATATTTTACTTACAAAAATCTAAGGAAAATATTTTTATTGTTTGCTCAACTTCAAAATGTGTTCACATTGACGTGAAGACTTTTTTTTCCCTGCAGAATATGCAGTAAACCAATTCATTACATGTTTTCTAGTACATAATTTAAGTATGTTTTCTATCATTACTTGCATTTAAACAAAGAATATATTAATCTTACATTGTAATAAAACATCACTCTTTAATTGCGTGATCTTTAATTAATTAGCCGATTACTAATCTAGTGGTTACTGTACTGGACTGGTTGTGGGTTTGAATCCCACTGTAGGCATGGATGTAACTTTCTCTCTCTGTGTTTTATGTCCTTTCTTCTGTGTGAATGTAACCTGCCCTATAAACGGGCTTGTGGTTGTATGACTTGGGCAAGGCTACTCCACCTCTGTGGGTTGGCCACAGGTGCCATAACGATGAGAGAGTAGCAATTCTGGCTTTTGTGGGGTCGATGGGAAAAAAGTCCAAGTGCCCACCATTAAAAAAAATCTTTACTTAATTAAAATTTGACTGCAGGGTGGGCCATAAAAGACGAATTTTCTTAAATATTTTAATGTGGTTGAGTGGTCAACTATCATTATTAAATTGTATGGCAAATCTTAAACTCTAATTTGATATCTTCTGGTCACCTTAATGGAAGGGCAATTCAAAAGATATAATGCTGCCACTTCAATGAACGATCCAAAATTCAGTGCTGATTAGGTGGCAGAATATACTAAGTTATAATTCTAAAAGTTTTATGCAAATATTCTTGTTAAGAAAAGATAACTTTTAAGTGGTAGTGCAAGTTGCTACCATTACCATGCAAACGATGTGAAGTCTCCACGCTAGGAATACAGTGATGCAAACTACTCCGCTTTCGGCAAAAGATTTTATAAAGTGGTATAGAATCAAAACTAAAAGTTACATAATTTTAATTATTTTTGCCAATATTTTAGAAGGCTCACTACAATATTATTTGAACAATTTAGCATGTTAAATGAATATTCTAATTACTTAAATGTATTGGTGGGTAACGTAAATGGAATTTATTAATTTAAGAACTCACACAGATTTTTCTAGCACTCAAAAAATATTTTTTTGCACTACCTCTAAAAGGATTTAAGACACTTTAATTTATTTTGGCTCATCCTATTAGAGTTTTTAAAATTTTCCCTTACTCCACCTTTAAGCTTCTATTGTCCAGCTATCAAAAGAATTAAAAAGCTGATAGGCATAAACAGCTTTATGTTTGTAAGCAGTTCTTGTATTAATCAAAATAGTTCTCAGTCATAAATGCAAATTTTTTTTTCTACAATTGAGAAATTGTAGAAAAAAAAGTTACAAAATTTCACCTTTTGTTCTTTTTTTTTTTTAAATCTTTGTAAATCAACATTGAATTAAATATTATTTGGTTTTGACGTTATTTCACATTTAACTAAAACTAAATCATACACTTGCTTACCCCTTTGAATATTAATAAAACGCTCAGTATGCTAAAGCCTATTACTTCCCAATATTACGCTATTGATTTGCTTATGATAGGAGAAAAGGGGTAATATCTATGCTTAGGAAAATATTAAAATCCCATAAATTTTTTTTAAATGCAAGAAATTAAAAAAAATTTGTGGAAAATTGCACTTGGAAAAATTCTAAATTTGAAATAAAAGTTAAATTTGGGATAAGGAAAGTTGGTAAAAAACTTTTTTTACAATTAAACATACCAACATTTTATGATACGACATAGAATTACCGGTCTTTTGGTATGGTTAGATAAGTGTTAAATACAGATAGTTTCAGAGGTTAAGACAATTAACCATAGAAGTAATTCCCGAAGAATAGTTTACTCAAAATGTTATAAAATGAATTAAAATGTTATTTTAATTTTATGCTTAGCTACTACTGTTATTTGAATTTAATCCTAAAATTAGATTATCTTTAGTAAAAGCCGAAACTGAAACAAAAAACAGAAGAGTGTATAGCTATTTTCTTACATAAGAAGAAAATAGCTATGACTTACTTTTTATGATGACTAAGGGAATGAGTCTGAAATAATGACATATTTATGGATTATTTGAATTGCCCCTTTTTCTGGTCCAAGCTTAAGCATAATGTTAATCAGATTGTTTCTTATTCTACAAATAAGAAGTATAAGCTAAGAGTATTAAAAACAAAACAAATTTCAGTAATGAGATAAATTTTATTTCTGATTTTTATAAACAAAGTACATAGTACATACATCATTTCGTAGCAGAAAATTTTAAACATTCCTTTTTAAAACACAATATAAACTAGAATATATTTAGGAAATGATAAATATATATGAAACATTTTGTTTTTCAAGTAAGATATTGATTCAAAGTTTATAAAAATTTATTCGAATTATTATAATAAATTTAGGTCTGGATAATAAAATAAGTTTACTCTGAATTTTTAATTTGAAAATACGTGGCATATTATGCATACAAACAGTTAATGAAAAAGTGTACATGGCATAACAACATTTAAGACTTGATAAATGTAGAAAGAAATTTTATGCCTGTTATTGCAAAGAAAAAAAAATTGTATACAACAGCCATCATCAACATTTTAAAGTGTAAAAGGTTGACATCTAGTAAATATTTAACAGAAAAAAAAAATTTATATCTTTTCTTAGTTTAATTGCTTATTAGTAATTACTAATTGCACTGCTAATAATTTAATAAAAAAATGTTTTTTTTTAGCATTATTGAAATTTCTTTATATATATTTTCTTTACAAGTACAATGGAACCTTGATTATTCAAATACTTATGTTAAGTTAATCTAAGTTGATTACGAAGTTATTTTACTTCTCTTTTCTCAATTAAAATAATATGGCTCTCAAAATTTAGCAATACGCAAAACCTTTAAAATAAAAAACACTTTTGGTATTGGTCGAATACAAATAATCAATCCTTTTAAAACAAGTAACCCTTTGTCAGGGATGCCAACTGCTCCACCTTCCACGAAAAAAAAAATTTTTCAAAAGTGGCAGAGAATTAAATCGTGAAGAATCTAGATTAACTTTGCGTTAAAAATTACGATGAGCTAACTGATAAAGAAAATTTGGATTAACTAAGTCCCACTACAACATTGTTGCTTCAATTTGGCAATTTTTATATTTAGTGGTGAGAAAAATTACTTGAGCTTAAACTTTCTATTCTAAATTAAGAATCAATCTATATTAAAAATTATGGTACAACTAGGAAAGCATTATCTACAAAGCAGAGTAAAGAGGGCATCACTGATAGCTGGTTGTTTTGGTTTTATTAAAGAAATATGAAAGCTGCAATTTTAGTTTCATAAATCTTTTTATTGTTACTAGTGTAGTTTACTTTGGTAACAGATGCCTCCACTTTCGCCAATGAAAGAAAACCTGTTGTATCTATGCAAGGAAAATATAATAACTTGGGGCTATTGAATTGTTGTTGTAGTTAATTTACGTCGCACTAGAGCTGCACAATGGGCTATTGGCGACGGTCTGGGAAACATCCCTGAGGAGGATCCGAAGACACGCCATCGCAATTTTGATCCTGTGCAGAGGGGATGGCAGCCCCGCTTCGGTAACCTGCACCCGAACTCAAGCACTTTATGGTAGAACAGTTTAACGAGGACCAATACCGCACACCCTCGGTCCCTACGCTGACTGATCCAAGTGGTCACCCACCCGCACACTGACCGCAGCCAGTGATGCTTGACTTCGGTGATCTGCTGGGAACAGTGTCTTAACGATCAGTGCAATACGGGACTGGGGCTATTGAAATCACGAAAAAGCTTGCTATTGAATCAATAAAATATCAAAAATTAGTTGAAGTAGCTAAACATACGAAATTGGATGCTGCTTTGCACAAGTGGCTTATTCAAATAATATTTAAGTACTGTTATTTGGGATTATAGTGTAAGTGAATTTCTTTTTTAAAAAAAAAACATATCTTTTTGTCAAAAAAGCATTTAATAAATAATAGGAGCTTTATTTTTAATAAAAATCAAATTTTACAGCTTACTGAAAAAAGTCTGTTACCAAATAGTACTCCAGATTGCATACTACTTTATACAAATGACTTATTCAAAACAAAAAGTAAGTACTGTTATCCTGGAATAATATAAGTGTGAGAATTTTAAAAAAATATATTCAATCCTGTTTGATAAAAAGGCTTTCATGTAGTTATGTAAATTATAAATATCATATAGCAGCATTCTTTGAAAGAAATTAGGAATTTTATAGTTTACCAAAAATACATGAGGTTACCTGTATAATTTTGACGTAAAAAAAGTCAGTTACCAAATATTCCAGATTACATACTACTTTGTACAAATGACTTATTCAAAAAAAAAAGTTGCTAAAATTACTGTTATCCTGGGATAATAGAGTAAGTGTGAATTTATAAAAATAATGATATTCCTGTTTGACAAAAAGGCATTAATGTAGTTATGCTAAATATAAATATCATATAGCAGCATTCTTTAAAATAAATTAAGAATTTTACAGTTTATTGAAGAAAATACATTAAAAACTGATACCTCTATAATAAAAATATTTTGATTATATGAAGTAGGTCTGTTCCCAATTATTTTGAATAATCAAAGTCCTACTGCATGTAAATTATCAGAATGTAAATAACCCAGTGTCGTAAATTTTACAGTTTACTAATTTAAATAAATTAAAATCTGATACTGCCACACAATACAAATATTTTGATTTCATGAAGTAGGTCTATTCCCAATTATTTAAAATGAATGATGTCCTAACAACAAGGTTCGTCCAACTATTTTGATTTAGTTGGATTATAGAGGATGGACCTACTTCACAGAAGGTAGGTCCATTCCTAATTATTTTGGATGAAGTCCCACTGTATGCAAATTATCAGGAAAATGTTAACATGTTGCTCTTTATCCATTGTTAAAACATTTTTTTTTTTTTGGAACTAAAAAAGTCTAATTCTTACACATTTTAACACTTAACTATTTAAAGTTAATATACTCACAGCAATTGCTCTTCAAATGGTAAGTTAAAAAAACAGCCTTTGTGGTTATGTAGAAGCATATTTTCTTTATCATACAGCTCTACGATTCATACGTAATTTCAAAAAATATAATTAATAATACATTTAAACGTAAATGCCTTAAATTTTAATCAGTACAGTAAAAATTCCTCCTTCTAGAAAAAAAAAAAGATTGCCACATCTTATCTGTAT